TAACTCAACACAAAAAAAATCAGTTTTTGGATCTATCTTTTTTGTAATACTATCGAATGACTTGCACTTCAATTTAAATTAATATCGCAAAAGAATAAAATGAACATAGCATAAGTAAACAGAGGAAAAAATAATGCTCAACAAACATGAGAAGATAAAAACATAAAAGAAACTAACTAGCAAACCAAACATAACACGGCAATAATAACAAAAATAATAATAATAAATATACAATAATAAATATACAAACTCTATTATGCAAATGAAACTGAAAGCAAAATGAAAACGAAACAAAGTAGAAAAAACAAACAAAAAAAACAAATATCAATAAAAGATAGCAATAATATAACCAAATGCTTAATAATATCAATATTACAATCATTATATATCAGATGATAGATTTCACAATATATAATGTACCATATATAAATAAATATCTACATAAAACAATCATGTATCAATTATTCCTTATAGATACATGCTATCATGACTAAATATCTATTGCTTAGATACAAATTTACAAATACAAAACTAACCATACAGTTATATAACAATACAGTTCTCCTTCAATATAAGCTTCTTCAATGGATTAATGCAATATTATACTGACAAGATATTTGCATACAATGTATACAAACACTTCACAAACAAAACAAGGAACAAAAAGATTAACACAAAACTAACACACACTCCCACACACGCACACACACACACACACACACGCACACACACGTAAAGAAACATAATACAAAACATATATATATATACAAAAGTATGCCACAGTATATTACTATAATTAGGATGTAATATATATATATATATATATATATATATATATATATGTGTGTGTGTGTGTGTGTGTGTGTGTTTGTATAGCTCTACACTCATTAGTATGTGGATATGTTTGTACATAAACATGAAAAAACAATAGTAAAATTTGGTAAGTTATATATATTGTGTGTACAATTGTGTGTACAATTGTACATATATATATAAATATACGTATGTGTGTGTGTGTGTGTTAAGATTAATTACCCATTTATATTACACATTCAAATAAATCTTATACATCATTTTACAATTTAATTACATATGTGGAACAAAGCGCAATTGGTTATATGGCACAACGCCAATCAATAGTTATGGTAATCATCATCGTCTTCTTCTTCATCGTCATTACCACCATCTTCTTCATCGTCATCATCACCATCTTCATCATCATCTTCAGAACCAAGAACATAATCACACTGACGATTTAAAAAATCATCATTATCATCATTCCATCACATCATCGTCATCATCATTCAATAACCATGGCAGCTAGCATCGTCACTAACCTTATAATATAATAACATAGCTTTTATTATATTATTATGAATAATTATCATCATAAATATAGGATTGCGGATGATAACACCAAACAACTAACTGTAATTTAATAATTATCTCATTCCTTCTTATAACCCTTCTTAACCAACTTAATTTAACAATAGTCTACAAACTGCTAGAATCTCAATGATTTTACACACACACGCACGCACACACGCAAACACACACACACGCGCGCACACACAGAAATAAAAACTATCATACAATTAACTGTTGATCTGGTATTTACCCCTATTATTGAATTATTATTTCAGGTTTAACTTGAGTTCAAAAAATTGCTGTATATATATATATATAATTCCTGTATATATATGGAATGAAATATGTTATAGGTAAAGAACGTGGTAAAATAAATATTATGATAATTAGATTAAATTAATTTAAATAGCTAACAGAATTAAATTTTAAATTAAATGTAACTTATAAATCTAAAGAAGCTGTATGAACTGTAGTATATACCGCATATATTTTCTACTTGCTATTTTGACCTGACGAATGTTAGGATTGTAAAAAAAAAGATTGAATGAGTTAGCATATGAGTATAAATGAATGAGTGAAGAAATGAGTAAATGAATGAGTGAAAAACTGATTAAACAAACTAGTTATATTAACAGATATATATATATATTATTATCACGATGAGAATCTCATTCTTTGGAAAGCATTCTATTTTAAAACATCAAAAAATATACATACATATATATAGATATGGAGATAAATAATATAGCCATTACATTACAGTGATTGCTGTTGATCAGTTGATTAATGTTATTGCTGTTAAAAATAATTTCATGGCCTACTCAGTGAAATGGAAAACTTTTCAAGAGAAGTGAAAAAAAAAGACCTCACAAACATTTAAGCATTCAAAGGAGATATCTTCATTGCAAATAAACAAAAAATTATTTTGAATACTAAAACGCAACAAATAAAAAACTGACTGAAAATGAAAGAATAACTCAAAAAGAGAAAAATTTCACACTCAGATTATTTATTATGCATAAAAATTGCGATCCAAACATTTTGAATAGCCAGCGCTATTTCTAACAGTGGTGCTACTAATGACCCCATTAACTGGGGACCAGGGTGACATTTTGTTGCTCATCGTATTGCACCTTGCCGGAGAGTAACCGGGGGTGTAATTAAACCCTCCCCCGGTGTAAATATCCCCAAAACCACCGCCAACACCACTCACGTGACTGCCTGTTCCTCCGTTTCTATAGTAACTGTTGGTATCGTGGATGATGATGTCACTGCTCATGTTACTGTTCACCTTGACGACTGGTTTCGTTTGGGTCATCTCTTTTGAGTACGATCGTCGCCTCAGTTTGAAGATGGTGTATGTTAAGATGGTGAGGAAGCAGAGGAGGGTTACTGCCCCAATGCAAATTATCCCGGCCAAGACCCCAGGCTGGGATATGAGTTGGGAGATTGTCGATCGTAATTCTGTCTGGGCAGGTGTTCTCTGTGCGTAGTTGTTGTGGGAGTCTGTGCTGATATTGAGATGCAAGTTGTTGTTCATGTTGTTGTTGTTTCTGTTGGGGAAGATCTTTCTCAATGTGGGCTTCTTGCTCTGAAGGTTTTTGTTCCTTGTACCGATGTTATCTGCGACATCAATATTTTATAGAGTAAGTGACAACTGGTGACCAATTAAACAAAAATATTGCACACCAAAAAATTTTTAAAAATTAGAACAAGCACAACATCGAACGACAGATGTGCAGAGAAACAAACTCAGACCGTAAGGAGCATTAAGGTCTGTGTCCTTATTGTCATGGGTCTTGACGCCATCAACGACGATGTGAACATTGTTGTTGTTGTTTTTTGAATGCTGCTTCTTCCCATGTGGAGATCTGATGGTTGTCGTTGCAGCTGATGATGACGATGCCGTTGCCCCCACTTCAGACTGTTTTGTTGACTTTTGAAATATTTGCTTACTGCTATCTGGGAAGAGTTTGCAGTAAAATTATTACTAAACTTACACAAATATTTAATCAAAATTTTATACAAAAAATAAAATAATTTTTTATTCATATTAAAAAAACTAAAAAACAAACCTTTATTGTTAGGAGTGTTGCACTTGGGAGTGTCAGGATCCTTCTTAGTAGTTCCTGGGATCTTCTGACCAGATGGAGTTGAGCACCAGCACTCTGAACCATGACACTGCAGGGCATCGAACTGACCGTCGTAAGTACACCGCGGCATGTAACTGCCTGGACTACTGGCGTCCTCCAACATTCGCAAACATTTTGTCATTCTCTTGGGTAGAACAGGCTCCATGTCATCTATTTGTTGATTGGGTAGGTGGGTTTCACATTTTATTGGATGGATGAAATGGAATGGATGAATTGATATGTTGATATTATAAACGATGGCTAATTTTGGATAAATTTGTTAACTCAGCTTAATCTAGTAAAGTAATTATATCACACAAATGACATTTTTTCTTTATGGGAAAATATGATGCTATAAATAAAAACACTGTGATAATATAAAAACCTCCTGATCCGTAAGCAGAACCATCTGTCTTGTCGTCGTCATCGTAACTGTTGTCATCGATGTTGTCGTTCTTGTTCATGCCACTACCTTCACCTTCGTCATAATAGTTCTAAAAATAAGAGAAAAAGATTATTCATGCAACAAATCGAGCCATAAACAACCATTTCAAAAACATTCCAACAATAATAAATAAATCAAAAATAATCAAAAATTTAATTTGCACTAAACTAAATTTTAAAATTGAAATAATACTCTATAAACTCAAACAAACTAAAAAAAATTATAAAAATACAGAATTTTACTACTACTAACACTTTCTAAGCTGGTTGAAAAATTAGGTTTGGCAATTTTTGGGGATTTCAAATTGGCTTTGTTGTTGTTGTTACCATTGCCACCACTTACAACCTTTTTTAGGGAATGAAATTCAAAAATTGTTAAATTAAAAAAATACATTTTTTATTTAAATTAAAAATTAATTTAAAATATTTAATAATAATTATTATTTGCTGCTCGCCTTTTGAAAATTTTACAAAATTATGAACGAGCGATAATAAATCGATTATTCGAATTTTGTTATAATAAAACAAGATTAGAACAGATCGTATGATAAAATGGTTATTAAAACTAACCTGACGACACTGAAATAAAATTGCGACATGACAGACAACAAATAATTTTATAAAAAACGACATTTTTAATAAACTTCTCAGTACTAAAAACAAATTGATGAATGTAACATATATAAATAAATAAATACATATATATATATATATATATATATATATATATATATATATATATATATATATATATAAACAACAATAAAAAATTTATTTAGTGATGGGCTAATTAATTTGAAAAAACAAATTTATATTAATTTTTTAAATGAAATTTGTTAAAAATATAAAATAATAAAATTTTATTTTAAAATAATAATTAAAATTTGTATTTTTTTTAAATTTACGTAATAAAATTTAAAATTTTTTTAAAATTTACTACATTGCTCATGGATTGTATGCGAGGTTCTTTCCATTATATATGTACATGGTTCTTTCCTCAAGTGTCTTCACGTGTTGTTTGAGCGATAAGTTGTTTAGCATTTTTTATTTTAATCCGCAAATTTTATCCATCAAATTAATCAAACTAGTTCCTCAAAATGTTGGTGCTTTTTGAAACGGCGGCCGGTTACGCGATATTCAAGGTTGGATTAAATTTTTTAAATTTGTTTTTAGATTGATTAGGGAGAAAAAAATGTTTGCTACCGCAGATTGTTATATTAAAATTTCTTTTCAGTTACTGGATGAAAAAAAGCTTAAAAATATTGACAAGCTTTACGAAAATTTTGAGAGTGCACAGTCGGCCAACGACATGTTAGTTCAATTTCAACGATTAATTATTTTTATTTCATTTTTATAAAATAAATTATAAATAATTTATTTATCAGATAACTCATTCAGTTCAGTCATTTATTCACAATTAGACAATTAGAATTAATTAACATTTCACATCCATTTGTTTGTTACAACTTTCATTTCAATTATTATTCGTATTATCATCCTTTCAAAATTTGGAATTCTTGCAGGTTGAAATTGAAACAGTTCAGCAAATTCAAAGATACCACTGAAGCCCTGGGGGGTATCAAATATATATAATTATTTTATATATTATATTTATATTATAATTATAACCTCAAAAATATCTGTCTTATCAATAACATCTAGTATGCAAATCTTAGAGATTTTTATTTTATCCTAACAAAAATATATACAAACATGGAAATAAATGTATCAACTACACATAAGTATACTGAAACTGTTTTCTTTTGTAGCTGTTGCTGCCACGATCGAAGGCAAGATGAGCAAGCCTCTGAAGAAGTTGATGAAGAAGTTGGTTTGTGAGGAGGTGCAAGAGGAACTGGCCGTTTCAGATGCTAAATTAGGAAGTCTAATCAAAGTTTGGCCAGTTTTTACTCACTCCAAGTTTTTAATATAATTATTTTATTCAGATTAAGAAATATTTCCATTATTAAATAATGTTTGCAAATCAACAACGCAGGAAAGGTTTAAGATACAGTGTGTAGCCAACAATCAAATCCAGGAGTTGATGAGGTGCATCCGATCACAGAGTGAAAGCCTGTTAGCTGGCCTGCCATCTAGTGAGATGTCGGTCATGGTACTTGGTCTTGCTCACAGGTTCGTCGTTTGTTTTGTTTATGTCGGTGATTCGTTTTTGCTGTTTATGTACTACTGTCTGTTTGTTGTTATAATCTTAATAGACACAATCAGGCATCATAGGATCATAGAATTCATCACCTTTTTGTTTGTGTCGGTGATTCGTTTTTGCTGTCTATGTACTACTGTCTGTTTGTTGTTATAATCTTAATAGACACAATCAGGCATCATGGGATCATAGAATTCATCACCTTTTTGTTTGTGTCAGTGATTCGTTTTTGCTGTCTATGTACTACTGTCTGTTTGTTGTTATAATCTTAATAGACACAATCAGGCATCATAGGATCATAGAATTAATCATCTTTTTGTTACATCTTATCCAAACACAACCACCAACAGCTTGTCGAGGTACAAGTTGAAGTTCAGTCCGGACAAGGTCGACACAATGATCATCCAGGCAGTGGGACTGCTGGATGACCTAGACAAGGAACTGAACAATTATGTCATGAGGGTGAGGGAGTGGTATGGGTGGCACTTCCCTGAGTTGGGCAAACTCATCGGGGATAACTTGGCTTTCGTCAAGACCGTCCAAAAAATGGGTGGGTAGTTGTTTTGGGTTGTGATTGGTCTCTTGTATAATAGATATTTTAGTGTACTTTGAGCTTATACTTATAAGTTTGAAATATTCTCTTTCAATGTAATTAAACATTTTAGAAATTGCTACATTTTTGTTTTTGGAGCAATTATTTTGGCTGAGTGTAACCTTTTAAAATTTTTACAGGTCCACAAATAAATATATTTATGTTCGGCTTTTTCAGGCTTGAAAACGAATGCGGCCACATGCGACCTTTCAGACATCTTGCCTGAAGAGTTGGAACAGGAGCTGAAGAACCAGGCCGAGATCTCGATGGGCAGTGAAATATCAGAGGACGATATCACACAAATTAGGGAACTATGCGAAGAGGTACTTTCAAATAAATTCATTTTCAATTATATATTTTTGATTGTTTTGTTCGTTTTCTACAGCTAAATGCTGGATCAGATTTTATAACTATTTCGATTAAATTGACATTTTTATGTTACAATATCCGACAGCTGTGATATGCATCAAATTTGTTAAACAAGACACTGTACATAATAGATAAACTATTGATTGATATGTGGGAATAAACACACAATTCAGACAGCATTCAATTAATGAAATAATTCATAACACCTTCCATAAAACAGGTTGTTGGGTTAACGGATTATCGTAGTCAGTTGTACGACTACCTAAAAAACAGGATGTTGGCAGTGGCTCCGAACTTGACGGTGCTTGTAGGAGAGTTGGTAGGGGCCAGGCTTATTTCACATGCAGGTTCGTTTGCATTGATCATGTTTTTATATAAATTTCATTATTTGATTAGGCTCTTTTTAATAATTTAATAATTCCACAGTAACAAGATCCATTTGCCATCTAGCTTTAATATTACACTAATGAATAGTTTTAAAATTAATTTTTCTTCCAACCACCAACAAATAAAAGGGTCCTTAGTGAACCTGGCCAAGCATCCAGCATCAACGGTGCAAATTCTCGGTGCAGAGAAAGCCCTCTTTAGGGCATTGAAAACCAAACACGACACCCCAAAGTATGGTCTCATCTATCATGCTTCTATGGTCGGTCAGACTTCTCAGAAGAATAAGGGGAAGGTACGATGTGTGTGTGTGTGTGCGTAACTTTATTTCAGATGTACAGTACTTTAAATAAAACAATCTATTGAATGGCTACACAATAAAAAAAAAACAATAAATGCCCTCCAATTTTGATAACCACAGATCTCTAGGATGTTGGCAGCAAAAGCAGCCCTGGCGATCCGGGTGGACGCACTTGGAGAGGATGGGGGCATTGAAATGGCTATGCAGGCCAAAAGCAAATTGGAAACCATGCTAAAGTTCATGGAGGAAGGACATGTTGGTTCTTAGATTCATTTTAATTATGCATTTCTTTATGTCCCTCTGTCTTATTGAAATTTGACATTATTTTTTTTAGATAGGTTATTTTACCCCAAATGTTTTATTTTTTTAAATTGTTTCGATAAAGATGAGAAAAATTTCTGGATCAGGAAAAGCTAAAGCCAAATTTGATAAATATGAAAACAAAAGGTAATTCATTTCCATTTGTTATACATCTTGCTTATACATATACTTACATCCACTAATTATGTAATTGTCCAACAATTTCGTTTCGATCCAGTTAGAAATATTGTTCGTAGCACTCTCATTGCTTATCGATGCAATTAAAATAATTTTTTGATTTTCAGTACCATCTGGACGAACCAGAGCACAACTGCATCAACCCTGCCAAAGAAGAGGAAGTTGATTGAAGAGATTCCAACTCCAGAATCATCCACCACACCTGGGAAGGTTCATGAGGAAAGCAGTGAGCCAAAGAGAAAAAAGATGAAGCAAGAGGTAGAAGCTGCCAAGCAGAAAGTGGAGCTCCCACAATCAACATCAACCACCACACCCGCAAAGAAGAAGAAAGATAAGCAAGCTACAGAGCAAGAAATGGACACCTCAGTGGCCACCACATCTGCAAAGGTTGATGGCGAAAGTAGCGAGAAGAAGAAGAAGAAAGATAAGCAAGCTGCAGAGCAGGAAATGGACGCTTCAGTGGCCACCACACCTGCGAAGGTTGATGGCGAAAGTGGCGAGAAGAAGAAAAAAAAGAAAGATAAACAAGCTGCAGAGCAGAAAATGGACGCTTCAGTGGCCACCACACCTGCAAAGGTTGATGGCGAAAGTAGCGAGAAGAAGAAAAAGAAGAAAGATAAGCAAGCTGCAGAGCAGAAAATGGACGCTTCAGTGGCCACCACACCTGCAAAGGTTGATGGCGAAAGTGGCGAGAAGAAGAAAAAGAAGAAAGATAAGCAAGCTGCAGAGCAAGAAATGACGATTCAATCGACACCCACCACACCTGCAAAGGTTGATGGCGAAAGTGGCGAGAAGAAGAAGAAGAAGAAAGATAAGCAAGCTGCAGAGCAGGAAATGGACGCTTCAGTAGTCACCACACCTGCGAAGGTTGATGGCGAAAGTGGCGAGAAGAAGAAGAAGAAGAAAGATAAGCAAGCTGCAGAGCAGGAAATGACGATTCAATCAACACCCACCACACCTGCAAAGCTTGATGGCGAAAGTGGAGAGTCAAAAAAGAAAAAGAAAAAAGAGAAAAAAACCGAAGAAAATGTTGATTAATTTTACCAAATTGAAATTTGTATTTGTGTAAATATATGAGCTGTGTGTGAATGGTGTTGTTTGGTGAATAACAGTTTTGACTCGTGTTCTTCGTCTGTTTTTATGATGATGATGATTGTTGTCGTGGACAATGTCGTTAATCAGTTATCATCTCAGTTACTGTGGGGTTCGGTCGGCTTGCTACTTTTCTGACATCCCTTTTTATCTTTGGCCCTTCAAATCCTCATCTCCATCATTAATACTTTTTTAGTGATCTACCTATAGCAACTCAAACACCTAAAGCCGATAATCTGCTACTCGCCTGCTTCTGCTTTTATCTCCAAGACACAGAATCTATGTTTGTCTCTCAATCTCTGTATACGCGCAGACCCACTGTTTTTTTATTCTCAATTCCTTTGAACAGCACCAAGTGTTTTTAATGTTATAAAAATAAGATTTAACACATTAATAAAATTTTTAAATACGCAAATCGTTTTACTGTTTTATTTATAGAATAGAACTACTTCAAAGTTGATCGTTAAGTACATTTAAATTTGCAATTATCCAAAACTGGATTGTTTACGTGGAATACGAACACACTCCCGTAATAATGTACATATAAAAATTCCTGAATATTCTTAAACTCCTATGGAAAATTTTCAACAAATTAATAATAAAGGGTTAATGTAATGCACTCAGGAAGGGACACTGCACTGTTTTTTTATATTTACGATAACACATGATGAGTATTAGAGTGATTTTGAGTAGGGTATGTTAGACGAACAAGTGAACGATTAGCGTAAACAAACATGTATTAACCATGGGATACATATAATATCCTATATCCATGGTATTAACTAGTGAGTAGGTGCAACAAAATAAAGAAAATAAACTAGATGTTGACATGCTATTCAAGTGTTTCAAAAGTTACCTGGAATTGTCAAATTTTATTCTGTCAACGATTAAAAGTAATAATTAAGACACGGAATATAAACAAGAATGAAAAATAGGTTGGATCACAAAACCAAAATATTTTGAAAACGAAATAAATATATCTACTTTAGTAAAGTTAGTAGAACGCGGCGACAAGACATGAACGTTTTTGATTGAATATCAAGCGGATCATGATTTAATTAATTAATTAACTACTTAAATTAATTGAGCTAATAAATTAGTTTAGAAATTACTTGAAAGAGTTTCAACTTAAAAACTGACCGTAAAAATGATAATTGCAAAGGCGAAATATATACATTACAAGATTACAAGTAGCCAACGAAGTGTAATCACAAGAGCATCAACCAGCTGACATTAAAAAATATTATCTTTTTTATTTTAATAAAATTTGTTTTAATAAAACTTTGATCATTATTAATATTAAAATTCGTGAAATTGTTAAAAAATATTTTGAGAAACGTATGAGATCATTTAATTTTTTTGCATTAGTTTTATTTAATTTGCTCAGTTGTTACAAGCGGTGGCAACAATTGTGGCGTTTTTGTGGTTGTTGTTGGTAGTAGAGATTTAGACGCTGTTGTTATTGACGTTGCTGTGGCCGCTGCTGTTGCTGCCACTGTTTCGGTTGATGATGTCGATCGTTTTATTGGGACCCTTGGATCTAAAAATGAATTTGCCTGGCATTTTGATGGCAGAGGTTGTTGTTGTTGTTGGTGTGGTCGATGTTGTTGAATTTGTTAATGACATTCCAGTTGATGCTGTTAGTGTTTTTGATTTTGTTGTTGTAGTTATTTTTAGTGTCATCGGCGAAGATGTCGTTGATTTCAACCGCGTTCTTGTAAATGTTATTGATGTTGCTGATGTTGTCGTTACTGCTGATTTCAACGGCGTTTTTGTGACCCTAGTCAATGTTGATTTTGTTGATTTTAATGGGGTCCTAGTCGGGTTATTTAATGTTTTTGTTGTAGTTGTTGTTGGCATGGTTGATGAGTATTTCAATGGTCTTGTTGACGTCATCAATGATGTTGTTGATGTTATCAATGGCTTTGTTGAAGTCATCAATGGTGTTGTTGATGTTGTTGGCATAGTTGTTGTTTCTAATGAGGTTTTAAAGGATTTTGACGACGATGACGCTGATAAAGTTGTTGAAGAGGACGATGATGAAGATACAGGTTTCAGTGATATCTTGATAGGTAGTGAAACTTTCGCAGCTAACAAAGACTTTGGTGTTGTTGATTTTATTTTCATCGATGACGTCATAATAGTTTTGGAAGATGGCGGTAATAATGATGATGATGGTGGTGACGATGACGTAAGTTGACGTTTATTAATGTTTTCATTTGCGTTTATATTATTTTTGTAAACATTACAATCATCATTGTTATCATTAACATTAATATCACCAATAAATTTTCTATAATGTAACAATTCTACCGAACTTCCACCGCATCCATCGGCATCTACATTCTTATCATCGTCATCGTCATCACCATCGTCGTCTAGGTCATCACCATCAGCCGCCTTGACCTTCACACAACCATCATCATCATCATTACCGTCGTCATTATCATCAATCCTATTATTGTTATCATCATTATTACCATTGTAATACTTAAGACCACAATTATCATCGTCATTATTGCTATTATCTTTTGTCCACTTATCACCATCATCATCATTATTATCATCATCATTATCAATATTTTTATCATCATCATTATTATTATTATTATTAGTAGTAAGTTGGCCTGCCGAAATATCATTATCATTGCCAGAACATGCAATATTATCCTCATCAGCATCCTTCACGACGACATCAGCTACGTCATCATCATTTATGACGTCATCTGTTACGTCATCCCCATAGATGACACCATCATCCCGGATAGTTGGATCAGGTTGACGGCACGGAAACATGGAATATAAATCATTATCATTTAAAGATAAGCATTCGCTAAACATGGGCGGTGGTGGGATAATGTACTGAGAAAAATTACCCAGATCTTGGTCGTATTTAGAGTTTTCGATTGCGTCATTTCCGGTATCGTTGTTTTGTTTGTTGCGGTCAGTGATGCTGCTGCTGCTAAGGTAATTGAGGTTTTCACAAGTGTCGGACAAATTAGTTGAACGTTGTGAATCATCCTGATGTTGTTGCGGCAACAAACTTTCATGTTGTTGCTGTTGCTGTTTTTGTTGCGGCAACAAACTTTCATGTTGTTGTTGTTGTTGTTGTTGTTGTTGATCAGCACGGCAGCCATCAACATCCTCTTCTTCAGAGAGTGGCGTCTGCAATGATGTTGAGAACATGCCCATAGAGAAACATTTCTTCGATTTTCTTGCATCCGATCTCTTCCTATCTCTCAGTGCAAAATAACTCAGGTACATTTTGAGTTGCTGGTGCTGCAGCTGCTGATTTTGTTGCCGTAGCTGCTGTAGTTGCTGTTGCTGCAAACTCAATCTTCTATTATACAAGGCACTACTCAGACAAGGATTCAAATCAGAAGAAAGAATTTTATCTCCACCAGTTTTGAAATAGTCACCATTGTCAATCGTCTTACTGCTTCCAAATTGGTTTTCCACGTTGACGTTCATGCAATCTGCACTTACAGGGCTGTTGTTGGTCTTGTTCAAACTGAAGAATGGTTCTCCATTCAGATGACCACTCTGCAAACTGCCCTCTCTGCTGCTCGAGAAGCTGCTCGTGGTGGAGTTAGCTGACCACCAACTGCTGTAGGAGTCGTAACTGGAGAAGCTGCTGGCGCGTCTTCTTCTGTAGCCGTTGTGGGTGATGTAAGAAGGGAAGAAATCTGACGATGACGATCCTGTTGATAAGGATGCGGCGCTGTTGTTGCTTGCGCTGCTATTTCTGTTATGAAAGAAGCTGCTACTGTTGTACATGTTGTTGCTGATGTTGTATGATTTGTTGTCGTTGTAGTTGCTGCCAAAAATAATATGGCTGATACTCCTTCCATAACTTTTTCTAATGTTGTCGATGTTGCCGTTGTGGCTGATGTCATTGTTTACGTTGTTGTTGTTGTTGTTGTTGATGATGTTGTTGTTTTTGTTGTTCATGTTGTTGTTGTTGTTGTTGTACATGTTGTTGTTGTTGCTGTTGACGTTATGTGTATTGTTGATGTTTTTATTTTCTAATTCAGTTACATCAACAAAATTCTCTACGTTGATGTCATCATTATTGTCATCATTATTGTTGTTTAAACATCCCTCAGTGCCATCAATACCGCTATGATTGTTGAAGATTCCAGCGTCATTCCCACTGCTTACATCGTTTATGATGACACACTTATCATCTCTATCACCATCAACAGTATCATCATTATGAATAACTCCCATTCTCTTACTGATAATGATACTTCTTTTACTGACATCATCACCGCCACCACCATCGTCACCGCTTTTGCTATCACCATCATCATCATCATTGATATCACCAACGCGTTTTTGATCATCATCATCATCATTATCATCATCAGCGCGGTTAATAACGTTATCATCGTTAAAGATGTTATCACTACTATAATTATCACCATTATCATTGGCATCATCATCCAGAGTGTTAGTCGTACCCTCACTCTCGTTTTCATCACCGTGACAACAATCGCGATAGATATCTTTTACCTTTGATTCTTCGTCGCCAGATATTAAACCGAATACTTCAGTTTTGTTTAGGCTGAACTCGTTCAAGCGTGACGTCATCGGGTTCAATGAACTTTCTGTCGGAGTTACTAAGTCATCGGTCATGTCATCAGTTACGTCATTACCTACGTTATCATTAGTCTTTTTATTATCTTGATTGCCATCTGGTTTTCTTCTGCCAACAATTCTATGAGGATTGTCGAAATTTTTATCATCATCATCATCGTCGTCGTTGTTGATGATGATGTTGTTGCTAACATTGTCATGATCGTTGTCATTGTTGTACATCATTATCTTCCTACCATCATCATCATCATCATCATCTCTATCATTATCATCATCAGCATCATCACCCTCATTATTATCATTACCATCTTCATTTCTATTTTTCTCAACATCACTAGCATCAACACCAACGCCATCAACATCATCATCGTCACCATCAAATTTCGAATGACGTAACGACGACGACGACAACCTCCTGAAGCTGTCAACAGAGCTTCTCTGGCCGGAAACGCGACTGCCGCCGTTCACGTACGACTGACGCTTCGTGAACGCATTCGTCCTTTTAAGGGTTGACTTTCGCGATTTTGCGGTCCGACCGCTATCTCGGACGCCCTGATTGTTCCGCGTGACGTCACTGAAATCATCATTGCTAGTGTCATCAATTAGGTTATTGACGTCATCGTTATTGAGATCGTTGTTAGCGTCGTTGCTTTGATCGCCCATGCTTATGTTAACTGCACCATTGATAACATTACCATCGAGATAACTGCCATTCTGTGTAGCTTCAATGACATTGTTGTTACAATTATTACTGTGATGATCGTTGATGTTGTTGTTGTTGTTGATGTTGTTGTTGTTGTAGTTGTTGTTGTAGTTGTTGTTGTGATTGTTGTTGTTGTTAATGTTGTTTTGGTTGTTGATGTCATCTAGATCAATACTGCTGCTGCTACCAAAGGCTGGATAGATGACGGCATTGTGTTTATTCTTGTTTAACTTCCTGTTTAGATTGGCAGAGCGATAAACAATATCAGCGCCAACACTCTCTTTGATGCAACCACAGTTGCTGCTGCTATAATTATTAATGCTATTATTATCATTTTGATCCTTTATTAAATTCATTGCAAAATTGTTAGTGTTATAATTAATAATATCATTAGTGTTGTTGTTATTGTTGTTGTTGTTGTCGTTAGTAGTTGTTAGTGTGTTGAAAGTATTGTCTTTGTAAACTTTGCTGTAATTGTTGTTGTCATTAACGTTGTTGATATCTTTAGTGTTATTATTTTTGCTTTTGTTAATGTTGTTGTTGTTGTTGCTGCAGCTGTTGTTGTTGTTGATGTTGTCGTTGTAGTTAATAATAGGAGTAGACGCATCCATCGGCTGGATGAAATGAAACTGACTTTTGGCAAATTTCTGAAATGGAAATTTGAAACTTTATAAATAGACATTTCACCTGACGCATCAACAAAACAATAATATAATAACAATAATAAAAAAGTTACCATTAATATTATTATTGTTATTATTATTGTTATTATTATTGTTATTATTGTTGTTGTTGTTATTAATATGAGATCCCAACGAACCTCGGACGGCGAACTAGGCAGGGATGACATCACATGCTTCCCATTCGGATTAGCATTCACATCAACCTTTTTCTCGAGAACATCTGTCCTTTTTAGAGGATTCTTCGTGAAGATGCCGACATTTTTTATGATCCTATCCAGTTTAGTGTGAATGAATAGAGATGATATTCCGTGCGGGGTTTGGGATGGGATAAGGGAGTGGAGTTGGACGTTTCTGTAGCCTGTTTTCAAATGATTGGATGCTTTATTGATTGATGGGTTTTGAAAAAAAATTTTGAAAAGTGATTTAGTTTTGCATATGTCAAACAACCTGTCAAATAATCAACTAACCAACCAACCGGCTAGCCAACCAACCAACCGACCAACCAATCAATCAAACGAATAAATCAATCAATAGCCAATCAAAGCCCAGAACGCAAGAGATCAACCCCGACAACAGAATACCGAACCGAGTTTCATGTTTGGCAAGTAGATGATGGCGTGTGCAACTTTCTGATCATTAGAAACATCAACGACTACAAATCTCAAGAAGGCCATGTCTGGGAAGGTGATCTGTGGCAAAATAACAAAAACAATTATTAAAATTAATATTAGTAACATCATCACCCCCACCAACATCTTCATCCCAATCCCATTCATCTTCATCCCAATCCCATTCATCTTCATCCCAATCCCATTCATCTTCATCCCAATCCAATTCATCTTCATCCCAATCCCATTCATCTTCATCCCAATCCAATTCATCTTCATCCCAATCCCATTCATCTTCCACCTCCTTCTCACCTGGAAAACGAATTCTTGATCCCAGATGGGGTTGAAGGAGTTCTTATTAACAACCTTGGTCTTCATCTTGGAGCAGTCAGCAGGGCATCCCATTAGAACGACTTCCACCTGAGAACTCGTCTGGTTCGAGTTCAAACACACGTGCTGCCCAGATATTATCTGTAATGGTTTGATTTAGTCATCTCGTCACCGTTTGAGTCGTCAACAGTCATGGCCAGTTGTTTGTTACGCCATAGTTAGGTTTGTGTTGTTCGCGCTGAGATTTTAGTTGAGACAAATGGAGGAACTCTATATCGCAACAGTGGCAACTAATTTTCAACGTTATAAAATGTAAATACGTGAAGACGGATCAATTGACAAACACGTTTTAAAAACAATATATAGGAGAGTATTGAAAAAAAATCCAACCAATTACCATCCAACAATTATCTGAAGAACAAAGAAACCAACAAAGAAACCAACAAGCGGCATAATTAAACAGCAATTAACCAACCGACCCTTATAGTGAGCACCCTGGTTGATGTGATGCTGTTGGAGTCCCAGATTTTTAACGGATTGCTCCGGGACAGAGGATTGATCCTACCGTACGTGGGATGAGTGGGATCCCAAAATATCCGAGGTCTCAGGATGTATCCACAGTTGCCAGTTGCTTCAAAGAGAGATTTGTTGATCTGCATTGGAAGGCCTGATTTGAAATGGAAAATTAAGTAGGATGTATAAAAATCAACAAGTGCACAAGATACTAAAATACGGTTCAATCAAAGTTTTGCACATTTGTTGGTAATTACTGACAGGAATCTCTATCAAAGCCTTCAAAACCTTTCACTGCACAACAAGATATTTATTCATTCATCCATTCATTCATTCATCCATTCATTCATCCATCCATCCATCCATTCATTCATTCATTCATCCATTCATTCATTCATTCATTCATTCATTCATTCATCCATCCATCCATCCATCCATCCATTCATTCATTCATTCATTCAATCGACCAAACGAACCATCAGTTTGAAAGTTGAGAGCAGCCATTTGAACGCCGACCAGCCAGGCAGATATTGGATTGAAGTTGGATGAGTCGATCCTTTTGCCTTCATGTTGATTGATTGATTGATTGGTTGGTTGGTTGGTTGGTTGATTGATTGATTGATTGATTGATTGATTGATTTATTGATTGATTGATTGATTGATTGATTGATTGATTGATTGATTGATTGATTGATTGATTGATTGATTGATTGATTGATTGATTGATTGATTGATTGATTGATTGATTGATTGATTGATTGATTAACTGATTGATTGATTGAGTTTAGTGGTCAAAATTGATGAAATGATCAGTTTAATCGTTGATGGTGATATTTGATAACAAAAAAGTTATATGATGACGCTGATGATATTGTTATCATCATCTATAATACAATCGTGTGAAGATGGTGATATAGTATCATCAATCATGTGAAGATGGTGATATAGTACCATCAATCATGTGAAGATGGTGATATAGTATTATCAATCATGTGAAGATGGTGATATAGTATCATCATGTGAAAATGATGATATAGTATCATTGTGTGAGGATGGTGATACAGTATCATCATGTGAAGATAATGGTATAGTATCATCGTGTGTGAATAAGAACGTACCTGCTGGATACATCCTGACAATTTCTCTTTTACAATGCGTTCAATGAAAAATTCGTTAAGAAAAATTCACTTAATGTTGAATACGAATCTTTATTATTTCAAATATCATCATCCAAACCATCACCACCATTTTATAACAATCAGCATGACATCATAATGACGTCAACAACAACAACATTGCCATCATCATCACCATCAAAAACGTCATCATCGTTATCGTCATCACCATCATCATTGGCAACATAATCATCATAAATTTAGCCATCATCACCATCATAAGATTACAAAATCAGTGAAGGATATTGTATAAATTTCATGGCGTCTCTTTGAGCCAATGCCTTCGCTTTATTTTCAGCCAGTGAAGAGATAAGGTACGTATGTCTTGGTGGTGACGTGTTGCTGCTGCGGCCACTGCGGTAGCTGCTGCTGCCGTTTGTCTTGTTTGTGGCATGAAACCCTGTGGTTGTTGCGATTGTCAGAGGTGATGTCAGAGGAGGAAAGTTATAAGATGATGATGTTGTATAATGTCGGTTATGATGATTAAAATGATGAGAGTTGTGGTTATGAAAGTGAGTGTGATGATGAAGAAGATTATGATGATGCTAGTACTTCTGATCTAGTTAGCAGGAAACCAGAACTAAATTTGAATGATTCCCAAAAAATAAACTAAATATAAATGAAAATACAAGTAAATTTGTTTATTTATGAATGAAAAAAAAAAATTTTTAAATTAGAAACCTTTAAATTTAACAGCTTGCGAGTAAACAACCAAGTTAGAGAGTTCTTTTGCTATCAAAATTTTCTCCTTCTTGTTCTTTGAGATTGAACTGTTTATTGGCTGTTTATGGCTACTAGTGCTGTTGTTGTTGGTGGTGTTGTTGTTTCTATCCGCACTTGTTAAAATGTCAATCACAGATTTGTTGCTGCCACTGTTGTTGTTGTTTCTCTCCATGTAGATTGAAAATATCTCTTGCAATCTGTGAAAACAACAAGTTGACGTGAAAAAATTTTTTCAGAAACCACATTCATATATGAAAAATTGTGGTTTTATTATTTTATTATTATAGAGTTTTATTATGAAAAAAAAACTTGACTACTTGGCATTGGACTTGAGGGCCTCTTCTTCTTTCTGAGATAAATTGAAGAACAAATTAGATGACGATGTTGAAAAGTTGATGATGTTCTGCTCACATAATGTTTGAGATCTCACTCTCATTGCTGATGTTGGGGATGAAATGCTGGCGTTCTGTCGGTGCTGATGTTGATGCTGATGATGATGCTGCTGCTGAAGCTGATGAGGTTGCTGTTGTTGTTGCTGCTGCTGTATTTCTTGTAAATGCTTATCCTGAAAATGTTAATTCCAGCTAAAAATATGTGAACGAACATCATTTTGAAAATTTGATAACTGAAAAATCTTGGGTACAAAAAACAAATATAATTTACAAATTTAACAAAAAGTAAAATAATACTGAATGATGGAAACAAAGCATTGCTCCATCTATAATATCACATCACATTCATTCCAATCATCCTTATCAATAACAGTATCTTTAATATTCAACTTGCGCGTCATTATCACCAACGTTATCATCACGTTATCACTATTATCAGGGGCTTTTAGGTGATAGTGATTTTTAATCACCATCATAATGAAATTTCTTAATCACCATCTTGATGAATTCTAAAAACGAAAAAGTTTATCAAACCTTAGTAGAATTATCTACAACGTTAGATGGTGTTGCGGCAACAATGTTGCATAGTTTAAAAATGTTGCCAGATGACTTTGAGTGCCGATGGCAGGCGAGTTTCTTTTCAACTTTTTGTGTTTTGCCTTTACTGATACCATTACGATTGTCGCCACTATCGCTATCAACATTGTTGCTGTTGTTGTTGTTGTTGTTGTTGTTGCTGCTGCTGTTGTTGTTGCTGCTGTTGTTGTTGTTGTTAAATATTCCATCATCTGTATCGTAGTCCACCTCCAGAGGTGATTTCATAGACGATTGATCTGATGTACAATTTAAAATCATATTAAAAATCATTAATGAAAAATTTTCTTTAAAAAAATAATAATAAGTAACGCATATTACTATCAACTATAATAAAAGTACAGTATTTGTGTGTGTTTGTGTGTGTGTGTGCGCGTGCGTGCGTGTGTGCATGCGCGTGCGTGCGAGTGTAGTTTATACTTCTGAAAATTAATTAGTACGAGATAAATAAAAAAATTCCATATAAGTAATAATGAAAGATCTATCTACCATAGTCTGAATCCTCTTCTTCTTCGTCGTCACCATCACTGACTGTAGAATTCATTGAAGTGTATGAGGATTGCACCTGGAAAAATTAAAACAAAATATTCCTATCACCTGACTAAAGAATCAAAATACTTAACTTATCACATAGTACTAAGTATTGTTGCTATACAGATAAAATGTGGCACTCAGAATTTAGTCAGAAGGTACTCAGAATGAATTAAAACCAATAGTGATAGACAATTAGTTGAACAAATATTTTGATAACATATATAACATTTGATAACATATGATAACAAATATTTTGACTGACTTGTATAGACAAAAGATAAAACATAGTAAACATACTTGATAAGTGTTGTTGCTGTTGTTGTTGTTGCTGTTGTTGTTGCTGTTGTTGTTGTTGCTGTTGTTGTTACAGATGTTATCGTTATAGCTACTGTCACGATTGTGACTGTTGTTGATTTCATTGTTGTTGTTTATGTCATTGTTGTCGTTGTCGTTGTTGTTGTTGCACGGTTTCAGTTTCTTGTTTTTAATGAGAATTCTATTTTTTAGTTGTTCTAGTGTTGGCACCGTGCTCAAATTAGGCAGGGGTTCTTTCAATAGTTTCTCTTCAAATGTCTCCTTCAAATTGTAACGACTTTTTGTTCACAAAAATAGACGTTAAAAAACATAAACATACATATAAATACAGAAACGTACAATTACATAAATAATAAAAGATACATAAACGTACACACAAACAAACATACATGCAGACGCAAACAAACATGTGACAAGCATACTCGTGTGATGAAATAATAGTGAAACAACGTTGATGATAAAAACCATTAAAAAAAACAACAAGATATAAACACTCACGCACACACAATGGCACAAACTCACAATAAACAATTTAGCCATTCTTTGCTGCTGAATGATGGAGCAGTGATTTTCAATGGAAAGAATGACAGGAAGGTCAGAGGTTATGAAGGCCGTTCTATTTATAGCCACGAGTACTTCCTATTTTAATAAAAATTCTTTGTATAATATTATTATATTATTTGTCTTTAAATTAAACAAAGCAAAATCCTTGTCAAGGGAGTAATAATAATTATCATAATTTATTAAAAACCTTGAGAGAGATCTTGGAAGTGAGGGTATAGCCATGATGAATGATGGGCTGACCATCATCACCGTCCCAACAATCCAACTCCACACATCTGCAGCCTCTTAGTAATACCTATAATTAATAATAATAGTATAATTATGATTAATTATATTGAAAATTATTATTATAATTTAGATTCAAGCAATCCAACTCTACACATGTAACACCTATAATTAATAATAATGTTATAATAATTATGATTAATTATAATCATAATTAATATTATAATTTAGATTAATATTATAATTTAGATTAATATTAAATCATTCGTGAAACTGTTGCCAGGTCAAAAGGTTAAAGGTCACCTCGGCGTAGACATCGGCAGAAGCTTCACCCTTCAGTTGGTGGCCAGAGAGGTAGGTATTGTGTGAGGAATTGATGAAGTAGTGAGTGAGTGGGTGACTCGTGTCCTGGTGATGATTATGATGATGACGGTGGTGGTGGTGATGCTGACGATGATATTGGTGGTGTCGATGATGATGACGATGACGACGATGCTGATGATATTGATGATGATAATGATTACGATGATGTTGACGATGATGATGACATCGGTGTTGATGAAACAAGAGATGATGAAGAAATGATGACACGACAAATGTGAAGATGAAGATGTGATGAAATGACTATGACTTAAAACATTTTCGTCATCCACATTCCTTGTTATCCATAATCTCTTGCGTCAAGAACATCATCACCATCATCATCATCACCATCATCATCATCATTATCATCAATCCAGCTTACCAAATCTAGGACCAAGATGGCGTAGTTGTCGTCATCGCTTATGTACCTAGCAAATCCCTCAAAAGACAATCTCATCTTCCTTCTCATCTCCTCATCTGGTTCGTGTTTCTGTGCGCGTATGTGCGTGTATGTGTGTGCACTTATACGAGTGTACGTGACCTTTTGTGTGTTTGTATGCACACCCATCTGTCCTTATTAAAAAGTGTTGTTTACACGCCGAAGCGAACACATGTGTGAACGTGCTAACAGACATGTATGTCAATAAATATCAGTTTGCATGGTGAACAGCTTCGAAAAAATAGAAAACAAAAACATACCTAAAAAAGCTGTGTAAAATGCATAATAAACTAAACCTGGATAATTTCCCTGACTGTTTCAAGAGTGACATTATCTTCTCTCTGCTCATTGACCAGGAACCAAGAGAGCTGGAACTCATCGAGCCACTGCTCCATCGAGGTCACTGATCCAGTTCGGTTTGACGTGATGCTCGCCTCGGCCACTGCCACGTACAAGTCGTGGTAGGGGTGGGCTGCACCGATTTGTGGGTTGTTTCGGGTCAGGGGGCCTTTAAAATGAGATGTTTTATATTTGAGCAGGTATTAGGGTATTTTTTAAATGTATTATTGAATAATTTTAAACTAATTAACATTTTTGATTTATTAAGCTTTGTGGGCATCATTTATAAAAATGCAAGAACATTAAATTTTAATGAAATTTTTTTAATTCATGAACCTAGTTTGGTACAATCCAGGCTTCCTGTAATCCCATTCAAGATTTGTGAATTCCATTGCAGGGAATTTCTAGATTGGGATTTTCCAACAAGACTACTCAGCATTTCGTGCGATGCGATATTTATTTTGGATAATTTATTGAAAATTGAGATTAGATCTCTTCTGGAGTGCAGCATGAAGCAATAATAGAGGTTGGTCATATCTTCGAAATGCATCGACAGCATGTCAATCTTCGTCTCAGCAGGCCTTTGGGAAGATGATGGAGAAGATGGTAAGAAGGAAAATAAAGATGATGATGATGACGAAATGGAAGATGATGTTGGTGTTGGTGGAAGTTTTGACGATGATGAAACCAATGGCAAGGTAGTTTTTTTAGTAGCAGCAACATTTGATGATGACGACGATGATGATGAAGATGTTGATGGTAGTAATAGTGGGCCAGACGTTCGTGATAACGACGATGATGACGAAGATGACGACGCCGATTGTTGTCGTTGGTGTCGCTGCTGTAGTTGCTCCTGTTGGCCCAACATTTTCAAGTGAGGTTTCATCTTGAAGTGAGTTGCCATCACGCAGAATGCTGTCGATTTCAACCTGTTTGTACATGTTGATGGCCTCGATGACGTCATTTCGGAAGTTGTCGTTGTTTCTGAAGTTGTTGTTGTCGTTGATGACAGTGACGCTGATGCTGTCGTCGCTGGTGGCGTGGCCAACGACAATTTTGAAGACGCTTTGGTGAAGGACACCAATCGTGATAAGGGATCATCCTATGGAGATATAATGTGAACTCTCTTTTATTTCCAGAAAAACATGAGATATAGTAAAATGAGATATGAGTCTATTTAAAATCTAATAAAATAAAATAAAATAAATTAAATTGAATTAAATTAAATTGAATCCAATAGTATTCTACGATGCTCATCATTTGAAATAAACCAGTACAACGAGATATAATTAATTTTAATAATAATAATAATAATAATAATAACAATAATGTTGCTGTTATTGATGTTTTTCCGATGACGTTATCTCTAACGATACTATCATAAAAGTTATTGCAAGTTAATGATACAGGTTCAAGAATTACAAGTGCAAGATGGTACCAACCAAAAAAAAATGATTGAATGGAAGAATGCATGCAACTTAATGTTTATAATTATCATCATCGTCATCACCACCATCGCGGTAATCATCATCGTCATTGTCGTCATCATCACCATCATCGTCGTCATCATCATACTAACATGTGACTTGAATAGAGACATAATGGCCGATGTGTTTGACCAATTCCTCCCACCAAACATCTGATACGGTTAAAGAAAGATGATAATAAAACCATCCAATAAAACGATAAACCATGAAAAATTTGTAATTAAACTTGCTAATATTGTTTTATAATGATGAGATTAATGATGCTGGTGCTATGGTGCATTTGCTGTAAAGTGCCATGCATCGTTTCAGATGTATTTACTTATATGCACTGTGTGTTTGTGGTCAATGAAAGAATTGTAATTAATTAATTAATTAATTGATTAATTAATTAATTAATTTATTAATTAATTAAGTTAAACTAATTATATTAAAGTTAATATTGACTAATTGAATAATTGTATGAATGAAAACTATATAATCTCCAAAAAACAACTTGAAACTTTCCTTCTACATTTAGAAATTTAATTACATCTAATTGCTTTTTGCAAGATAGACAGATAGATAGACACACACCAATTAAACAGATTTCATTTTGAAAATTTAAGTTTATGTTTTTAAATTACAACACATATAAAATTATAAATAAATAAAAAATGTACATCCAGCTAAACAAAAACCCCAACAAAAATAAGAAGAAAAAACACGAATTACGAAATGATCAAAGGATATAAAAAAAAAACGTCCTCAAACAAACTTTGATAGCACTAAAAATTGATGGTCCCATGTACTCCACATGCGATGATGACGACGACGACGATGAAGATGATGACGATGAGGAAGAAGAGGAAGATGAGAAGGAGGAGGATTTGAAGTCTTGCAGGTAGTTGTAAACGTCAGACAGCCAGACCATTTTTGAATATGGCCTGATTGAATTTTTATGTGTCCGTACAGAGTTTATGATCTGTGGTGTAAGAATGAATGAATGAACGAATGAACGAACGAACGAACGAACGAACGAACGAACGAATGAATGGATAAATAAATGAATAAAAGATTCAATAAACAAATTAAACACACACACACTGTTTTCACAGCAAATTATAAAATTAGCAGACGTCATTACATTAAGAGTAAGTTTTTTATTAATGACGGTGGATAACAAAAATCATCTCAAATAAAATTAACAATACTATACATTAACATGAAACGCATTGTTTAAAATTTTCTATTAAAACATGCATATTAAATGATAAATTAGCCATCAATTACGACCAATTATGAAACTATTTTAAATGCATCTTGATAAGGAATGCTGAAATTATGTTGATAAGTTGCTGGCGGCATCATCATCATCATCACCATTTGTGATAGCAGTATTAGTAACTATATCATATTTTAACTGCCATAATTGCTATTATTTGTAATAATATTTCAATCAAAAAAAAATAAAATAAAACAAATAAAATAGAAATAAAATAATATATTTAAAATATATCCAAAAATTAAAATTAGGAAACAAAACTCATTAAACAGACCTTGATCAGCCCTGCCTGCCATGCAAGAAAGCAACCGTCAGTCAAAAAGAAATGAACTTTTTTCGAGTCAATAACGCCAGTACTGAATCGAATTATAATAAAATTGGGAATCCCAACTGGCAATTTTAACTTGGAAAAACCCGCAGGACTCATATTAAGGTCATCTTCTGTGATCTGACCCGATTCAAATTCGTTAATAAGGTCAACATTAACAAACCCTTCAAAGTTATCTTCACTGATGTAACAGCCAGAGTTTGTGTTGTGTTTGATGGTTAACAGATTAATTGGAATGCTTAAACTCGTGTGTGTCTCGACTAAGTTTATGGACTTTCCTAACTGTGAGTTTTTCCACTGGTGGTTCCAGGGAGATGGAAACCAAAACAAAGTTCTGGTTCGTTGATCAAGGCATAGAATGACGATTTTTTGAGACGATTGGATGCTGTCTGCACCTTTGTTGAAGAGTATCATGCTGCTGCCCCCCTGCATTACTTGCAGATGGTACAAATCCAAGTTGTGGATGTAGTAGGGAGAATAGAAGTTGAAGTCGGTGTCGTCGTCGATGTGGCTGCAGTTGGTGGAGTTTTTATTGTTTTGTTGATGGAATTTGGGGTGAGGTAAGTTTGCTGAGGACTTTAATGCTAGATGAGGTGTCCTTGCAGAGGTTGCTGATGTTGTTGTTGGAATGTGATGATGATCGGCATCATCAAACGATGATGATGAAGTTGGCTGTGATGATAGCAGCGATGAAGGTTTCAATGATAACGATGATGATGAGCTTGGTGATTGGTGGAGAGATGAATGAAATTTGATATAATTCTTTCTTCTGATCTTGCCCACCTTCATTAGCAGATCTCTCAACACGTCAGTTTTGTCTGGATTGTACAGGCCACCCAGCCTACCGCCTTTCAACTTCAATTTCTTCCTCATTGCTGTCTTGTCACTGTTGACTACTTTGTAATCTGCCACAAACTGTTTGTAGAAAAAATGATTGCAAGTCAACTTACTCACGACCTCATGTAAGGAAGCACAATAAATGAAAAAATAGTGATAAAAATTAAAATTAATTCTGTAAAAATAAATAAAACTTGATTCACAAACCTTAAGTTTGCCAGACTTCAAAACGAAAACAGTCAGATATCTATCAATGGAGTAATCACCAACACCAGCAAATAACCTCTGCCAAACATCCCACAAGACTCCGCCAACGAACGGGATCATGTGACTGGATGAGCAAATGAGATGGAAGCATGCATTCAGATTGATGTGATAGAGGAATGTGACGAATGGCTCGAGTCTCGATAGGCTTCTATCACCCAAGGATAACCAAAATGGTTGGAGAGCTTTTGATCTGAGTGAATGAATGGATGAGTGGATGAGTGATTGAATGTATAAATGGATAAGTGTTTGAATGTATGAATGGATGAATGTATGCATGGATGAGCGTATGTACGAATAGATGAATAATGCATGAATAGATGAGTGATTTTAAATAACTGGATAAAGTAATAAATAAAAATTAACAAAATAATTAAGCAACCAGTTACAGATCAACCAACCGTCCAACCAGCCAATCAAAATGAAACTGATCATTCAACCAATCAGCAACTAAGTTAATCACTCCCACCCTCCAATCAAAACTTTTGTACCTGAGTCCTGCAATGAGAGCCACAGCAGAATTCAGTGACCCAATTTCGAATGACAGCTGACAGGCCCTGAGTATGAACACCAGCATGAATTTTCTGTGCTCGAAAGACTTCTGGCACAACAAGGCGTCTACCACCCACATCTTCACCTGGAATTTATTATGTGTTACTTTTTTACATGCCTGTGTCTGTGTGTGTGTGTGTGTGTGTGTGTGCGCGCGTGCATCAAAATACTTGATTTTTTGGTTATTTATGTGATTATATTATCAAATATAAATTTAAATAAATGATACCAACATTAACATATGATTGTAGCATCATGATCAGGGTCCTTACTCCATCATTATCATCATCACCCTCGTCCCCACCATTATCACCATAACTTGATAGGCATTTAGGCAGAAAATGGCAGTTATCAGATGGAAGTGAATCGAGTACGAAGCATTCAGATGAGAATATTTTCAAATAATCAACAGAAGATATGTTGCAGGTGAACTGGAGATCATGCTTCAGCAGTTGAAGGGCCATTTCTTCGGGAAAGTCAACTATCTTACTGATGTTCATCAAATAGTGCATCAGGCTGTTTGATTGGTCTTTCAGCTGGCCTATTGAGGGGTCTGCCCAGAGTTCAAAGGTCAAGGTCATATTATGAGTATAAAATATTACATTTTATACTTTTGAGTTCAAAGGTCAAGGTCATATTATGAGTATAAAATATTACATTTTATTATAATACTAATAATAAATTTTGTGATGCTGTTTTTTTTCAAAATTAAATAAGTTGAATTATAACTTGAATTGATAATTGTAAAAGAATAAGTTCATGTTACCTTTCATATAACTTGAAAAGTATATATAAGTGATCAAAACCAACCAAATTAATTAAATATTATAAACCTGGCAATAGATTAGAACTTTTAAAAAAATTCATCAAATTTTTAATGGACAATAAATTTTTCAAAAATGATAAAACTCAAATCACTAAAAATCACTGTACCCTAAGTGTAGTGTGTGTGTGTGAGTGTGTGAGTATGTATGTGTGTGTGTGTGTGTGTGTGTGTGTGTGTGTGTGTGTGTGGTGTGTGTGTGTAGTGTGTGTGTGATGAATAATTAATTTTACACTGGATAACGTAATGCAAATTTATGCATTTAAATGTGTCAGTACATGTGTTTTTCTAACAATGCACATGTTGTTGTTGTTGTTCTTGGATGACGGTGACATGTTAAATCAAATAGAGTAAAGTAAGACAAATTAAGGTGATGTTTGTTTTGTGGCGATTAGTCCGTTAGTCCGCTGCAAGTTTGTGATTTTCATTAGAAACTTGCAAAATTCAGAGCATGAGTAAGTGGATGAATTAATTTGATCAAGTGAATGAATGAATGATGAACGAACGAACGAATGAACGAACGATTGAATAAACGAACGATTGAATGAATGAACGAACGAACGAATGGAATGAATTAGATTGACTGAGTGAATGAACAACTGAAAGAGTGAATCAGATTAAATGAATGAACTAGTTAACTAAACGGAATAAATTCTAAAAGCGACAAGTTAAAAACCTATAAAAGATTGAATCATTGAAAGAAAAAAAGGCAAATAAAATGATCAAAGCATTGTATTAACTGAAGCCATTAGCAACTGCATGTTTTAACAAGCAGTTCAACTTAATTGAACTTTCTGAATAGAAAACTATTGAGAACCCCACATTAATATGGTGATTGAGATTCATCATAATTAGAAACAAATGACATCTAAACTAAATAAATGTTCACCAGTTTAAAATTCCAATGCATAAGAACAACTCTCATATATAACAGTGGAGACATTCCATCACTCCATCAAAGTCATTGAGAAAAACACAATCAATGATTTTGTATACACATGAAAACGCATTTTTATAATTTGTATTTCCACTAGAAACACTTAATTTAACATAAAATTAACTGAATTAATAACTAAATAAGCAAGACTACTAACATTGTTTCAGCTGGATATACTGGACAAGATGGTCAGTCCAATTTGTAAGGTCATCCAAGTTACTCACCTGTCCATTTAGATCATCGTAATTTGTTACATCAGCGAAATACAATCTGGTTGTTGGTGAGCTGCGTCTACGCTCCTGTATCATGTGAACTGTATCACGTAGCCTGTGAACAACTTTGTGGTTCTCCTCGAGAGTCTGGTTAAAATTTTGAATTAATTATAAAGAAATTGATATTATCGTGTGGGTAAATTGATAATTGAATGGACGAAGGAGTGGGTGAATGAATAAATGAAGAAAAGAGTGAATGAATGAATGAATGAATGAATGAATGAATGAATGAATGAATGAATGAATGAATGAATGAATGAACGAACGAATGAATGAAAGAACGAACGAACGAACGAATGAATAAAAGAATGAAAACACAAATACATGAACAAACGTAGACAAACTTAAACATGAACACACACAGGCATCATGTTTGCTCAATATTCTCTACATTAATTGTGTTAATATTAATTGGTTTAAATATTCCAGTGCTTTCAAATATTGAATGACAAGATGAACTGATTCATATAGCAGATTAATTTCAATTGTGTTTTGTGTTTTACCGTTGTAAATATACACACATATACAATAATCAATCAGTTGGTTAATCAGTTATTTGGTTGGTTGGTTGGTTGGTTCAATTTTCAAATCTTTAAAAAGTGCTTACAAAAGTGACAGAGTATGATCAAAGCTAATATGTGATTAACCAATCAAGCAATTTTTAATATTATTAAAGTGAACCTGAAAATATGTATTCATATTTTTAATGATACTGTTGTTTAAGACATACGTACATACATACATACATATACTCTTGTATAACACTTGCACACATACACATACACACACATATACACATACAGATAAATACATATACATAAATATATAATTATGGCTATAATTAACAAATATATAATTATGGCTATAATTAATAAATATATAATTATGGCTATAATTAATAATACTCTAATTATTACATTAAAATGGGTAATGAACAGGAACAAACAACAACAATGGTACTCAACCCAATTTCTGTGCTACCCTGTGGTTTCTTAACAAACATTTCTCAATGGTGTATCAATATAAGTTAAATAAACAAAAGTAAAGAGAGATAGAGAGTAATAAAATGGCGAAAAGAAGAGGAGCGAGAGAGAGAGAGAGAGAAAAGTGACATGGGACATGGTTGTTTTAGGTAAACACACTGACATTCATTCATGCCATTCACCGTGGAAGCAATTAGGATATTGGATGTTGATGCTGACAATGGTGATCCAAATGATGGATGATGACGGTGATGGCGGTGATAGTTATAAATAATGTGATTATGATGATAGCATTCTAATGCTAATGATAACTTATGATGATAATTTTGATGGTAAGTATAATGAGTTAATGTTATCATTACAATGATGATGAAATAGACAAAGACGATGAAACAGAATGAAGCATAGTAATATTTGCTCAACAGTAATGAAAAGTAAACTAAAGTACACAGACATACACACACACACACACACAGACACAAACAAACACACGCCCCCATCAACAAAAACCTAAACAAAACAAAGCACAAACGCAAACACAAACACAGAAACAAACTTTAAAAAAAACTAATTAAAACTCAAAAACAATAATGAACAGTTAAAGATAGAACAACACTAGGCAAAAAAAAACAAAAAAAGACCTCACTGTAAACATCCACCAGAATTTGTAAGAAAAATAATTACGCATAATTACCGCAATTAACAAATTAATTCATAATTATTTCAGGCAATTATGATTACACTTTCAAGACATCAAATATTATGACGTCACATCTACGCCATTCATTCACGCCATTGATGTTCCTTTTTAATGATGGTGACATGATGTTGATGACGATGGTGAAAGTAGTGATAATGATAATATTTACAATAGTGATGATGACGACGACGAAGACGATTGTTATTGATGATAATGATGTTGGTGATATAACTGATGACAATGATTATGACTATTAAAACGATGAATGAATGAGTGAGTGAGTGAGTGAGTGAGTGAGTGAGTGAGTGAGTGAGTGAGTGAGTGAGTGAGTGAGTGAGTGAGTGAGTGAGTGAGTGAGTGAGTGAGTGAGTGAGTGAGTGAGTGAGTGAGTGAGTGAGTGAACGGTGGTATCAGAAAATGATAAGGCTATTGATGGCAATGTTAACATTGGTGATAATGTTAATAATGGTAATGATGATAAAAATGATGATGATGGTGATGATGATGATGGTGATGATGATGCTGATGATGATGATGATGCTGATGATAGTGATAGTGATGATGCTGATGATGATGATGATGGAGATAAGGAAGAGGAAGAAGAAGATAATGATAAGGATGAGGATGAAAGATGATAAAAGTGTAAAAAAAAATGTAAATGAGATGATGAATTAAACATACTCAATGAATTTTTTTTTTCAAATATTTTGAAGAGATACTTTTGTAAGCAAGCATTCTTGTAGTGAAAATTGACACATGTGATTTTGTCAACATTTTTGAAAAATGCTCTATTGAGGTTATCTCAAGTTTTATATCATCAGTGCTATTTTTAATTTGTTAACATAACTAGGTACATTTTAAATATGTATGTATTTGTATATATTTGTGTATGTGTGTGTATGTATGTATGTATGTGTGTGTATGCGTATATGTGTTTCAAAACATTCTTATAAGTTATCAGGAACGAACCGCATGATAAAAGTGATGAAATAACTAAATAATAACACTTCCTACTAAAATTAAATTATCCTAATTAATTAAGTTTGATCAATAAAACATATTAAACTGAATCCCCCCAAAAAAGATGGTTCATATGCTTATAAAAAAAACTATTTTCCAGAATTAAAACAAACCTTTAAAATATAAGCATTGATTGGTTTTAATGGTGAAGAAGAAGAAGCAAGGCAATCCATTTTCAAATGCTCTCTACCATTTTCCATCTCATCCATCAAACTTTTCTTCCATGATTTTAACCTCTGTCGACACTTCATATAGACTTTTTTGTAAATAAAGTTCTGTTAATGGTGAGCATGTTTTCTAATGTAATAATATATTTAATATTTTACATACAATACCTAAATATTTTTTCATAAATACATCATAGACATAGTAATCACTCATTCAAAAAATTGTTAAAATTTTTACTTAAAATTTTAAAAACTATGACTTTTAAATGATAAATGATAAATTAATTAATTTATTTTTAGTTATTTATGATAAAATTATAAAATAGTTGCAAAGCCTAAAAGGAAACAGGCAATTTATAAATAAATGAATCAAGAAAGGATGAAAAAGATTTTGTAAACTTTCTTTAGGAAAATCCAACTAAGCATAATATAAGTCACTACTTTGGCAAATGTTGTTAGAAGTTAATTAATGTAAAACAAATTTTATTCCTGGTTAATTTAATAAACATCAACCCAATTACAAAACTGATTGATAGATAGATATGGACTAAACTATTTAGTAACTTGAATCTTTTCTATATTTAATTATTAAATAATAAATAAATAAAAATTATTTTAAAAAAATAAAAATAGATTGAAACAACGGGACCAACCAGAACTGATTTTCCTTTTATGTTATAAGCTCCATCTGCTGTAGAACAACTTTGAAAACTTTGTATCCTCAATGGAAACAAACGCTGATTATTCCGTGATGACATTTTTGTCCGGGTGTGACTCCTCTGATTCAGATTTCTCTTTTCCAGCAAAACCGACCCAACCATGTTTTATAAATTAAATTTTATTTAACAATATAGACTTAAATATAAAACACCAATATTCTAACGACATTATTAAATTTAAAGGATGATTAAACCTTAAAACGAAAAATCTGATAAAAACCAACAACAAGCATTGTTTAAAAGTAAATTTATATAAGTAAGGAGCAGACTACAAAAATGTTCAAATTTTTAGCGCTGTCTTTTATTTTATTGTTAAATTTAACATATCTAACGTTCAAAAAAATGAAAAAACATTATTTTTTATTTTACAATCATTTACATTAATTACAAAAGATATTAACGTCAGAACCACATACAATAACAATGTTATGACTGCTTCTTATATTTAGCTGAGTATATGTCAGTAAAGCAGGTACTTTAATAACACGCATTCAAATGCTAATGCCACTTAATTGTCATGCTATGCATATCATATATACATATACATATACACATACATATATATGTATTATATAAAAATACATAGATTATATATATATAATTGTATAATTTTATTATTATTATATCTTTTCAACTAGTGACATTCAAATTTTTATGCTGAAAATGAAAACAATGGCCGATCGATCAGACGTTTTCGTTAATTTTGATAGCAATCATTCATGCAAAATGGCATTCATTTTAGATTATCACGAATTATTCGTGCTAGTACGTCAACTTAGCCTAATTTTATAAAGGTAACGATCCTTGAAAATTATCCTCGTTATCAGTGTTAAGTGAAATTTGAATTCAAATGATTTAAAATAATCATTTAATCAATATATTGTTATTTTTTTTATTTCAGTATGAAACCATCTCTTAATAGCTGATTTTGTTTTTTATTCCAAATTAGCATTCACGTGGTTTTGATGATTTTAAAAAGTGAGAATAATTGTTAATAAATTAAATGATAACGAAAACAATAATAAAATTGCTAGTAACGAAAGCAATACTTACTTACTTATATTACTTATAGTTAAACGCATGGACTCTAACATGCACACATACATGGTAAAATTTAAAGCGACGACGAAAAAATAATGGCAAATAAATAACACCTTTAAATAAATAAGCCATAAAAAAGGAAGAACGGACCAGTCGGCAAAGAAAAGAACAGCAAAGAAAGGTATCTATATAGAATTTATACTCTATATAACTCTACATAACTCTATATAACTATATATAACTAAATAACTCTATATAACTCTGATTGACTTGTTTGATCTGCCATATTTGATATGTTTTTGTATAATGACTAACAGTAACGCGATGTTTTTGTTAGAATCATGATCAACATCGATCAAAGGTCAAAGTCGGTTCCTCTGGTGTGTTTTTGTCAAATCGAAAACGTCATGTACGCGATTATGTATGTGCCTAAGTATGTGTGAATGTTATCAAGTATGTATGAGAGAAATGGAAAAATGAAGAGTTAAACAAAAATAACAACAATGCTAATCAAGTTAAGTTGACGTTAACGAACTATCCTTCAACACTTTGACATTATATAAATCCATTATTAAACAACAGTAATTAATTTTAAATTTTTCTGAGAGAATTCAAAATAATTTGAGACCACATACCAACACAATAGTAAAATTTGAATGTATAAATATAACAATATAAATGATTAAAAGCTATCTACTATCTATTTTTTTATTTAGTTTTAGGTAAAATTTATTTTATAGGAATCGAATATAATCTTTATACCAGCTAATTCACTACTATGCAGTTAAATAATTATTGTTAACATGACGTCATTTCCTTCAACTGTTTCGCAACGAATTACCCATCCTATTTTAAAAGTTTTATTTGATGTTTTTTAATTAGTCGGCCAAAATTATCATCATCGATGTCGCAATTAAATCAAATTGAGAATTTTTTTAATTTTTGAAAAAAGTATCTTTATTCATGTTATGATCATAAGATACTGTTTGATACTGTACTATCAATTAGCCAATCAATCAACAAATAAGAATCAATTAATAAACCGCTGAATCAAATCAACTGACCAACCAATCAATCAATCATTTAACTAACCAATCAAACAATCAATTAATCAACCAATGAACTCTTAATTGTGTAATTAGAAATTATTTTTGTTAATTTTAATGAGAATATTGCAATTTCGAAAGTAAGCTAACCTGTGGCTTTATTAAGCCATAAGTTAGCCACAGTGTTTTCGAAACAAAAAGCTACATTTTCAATCAAATTGACAACAATAATTTTAAATTACATATTTCGATTTAATTTTATAGCTTTAAAAATATTTAGTCAAGTAAATATTTTATATTAGTTTGTTGAAACCAACCAATGCAATTTCGTAAGTAAGCCAATAAGCCAAAGAAGTCCAATAGCCAAACCCGCGTTTTATATGATCGCCACGGGTTTCTAAAACTACTTTTTCGCATTATTTTTTAATTTATTGCTTATTTTTTTGTTTGTTTATTCGCAAACAAATAATAATAATAAAAAAAGATGGAATATATGGCGACTTCATCCCCGTCATCGTCTCCGGAGTGGCCAGCAAAGTTCAGCCACATCAGGAAAGTTTTGGGTAGGGCTGGTCCATTATCGTGTCCTGACTTTGAGCCTGGGCCCGAGGTTCACTTTTCATTTCTCTTTGTATTTCATCCAATTTTTAATTAAAATTTCTTAAATATCTTTCCTCTTTCTTTGAGTAACTTTTTTTTATTAAATTCTTTCCAATTCCAAGAAAAAAGAAAAACAAAAATTCAATGATTAAAAATTTAAAAAGGAAAAGAAAAATTTGAAATTATGAACATCATACTAATAATTAATTATAAAACATACATGTACTAAACATTTTTTCATTAAGTTGTGTTTACGTTTACCCTATTGGCCTATTCTCAACCAATTAATTAACTGATTAACAATACATTTATTTTAAAAATTAAAATATTATAATAGTTCAGATTATACTATAGTTTAAAATGTAGTAATTTTTATGTTTTTTTTTACAGAATTTAAACTTCCTTCAAAATGTGTGCAAAGTGCTCATCATTGGAGCTGGAGGGCTGGGCTGCGAATTATTGAAAGACTTGGTTATTGTTTTATTTTTTTGTTGCTAATTTCGTTTTTAAATTTTTGTTTTATTTTGATCTTTCGTTTTTTCAAATATATAAATTTTATTAAAAAATTATGAATAAATATAATCAATAAATATTATCCAAAAAGGGCCCTAAAATTTTGAAAGGTTAAATAGCTAGAGAATTAATCAATATAGAGAGCAGTTATAAATAAAATAACAAATAATAATTTCTATTTTTATTTTTAAAAGATATTACTTAATAAAAAACATATTAAAAAAAATTTCTTAAGTTAACTATGCGATTCATTTTCATTCAAGGCGTTGTTTGGCTTTTGTAACATCCATATAATTGATATGGATACTATAGATCTATCCAACTTGAACAGGCAGTTTCTATTCAGGTGTTGAGGATATTTTCAAGTTTATTTCATGGTTAAAATAATAAATTGATTTATACATTACATTCTGCATTGATCCACATGCACTGTGTATTTGCTATTGAAGGGAGAATTGTGCTTAATGAATAAATACTTACAATGTAAATAATAATTGTAACAATTATTAATATATAATATAATTAATATATAATTTAATTATAATCATAATAATCATTATAATCATAATATAATTTTTAATTCAAATTTCCTTTTGTAGGCACCATGATATAGGCAAGCCAAAAGCGATAGTGGCTGCTGAGTTCATTAAAAGTAGAATTTCTGACTGCAATGTTACTCCGTATCCTATTTATATGATTGCCTGTGTGTGTGTGTGTGTTTGTGCGTGTCCGTGTGTGCGCGTGTGCCTGTGTTAGTATAATTACTTTAATATGATTGATTTGTTAAATTTTTTTATATGATTTTTTTAAATGTTTTTTTTGTAAACATTTATTAACCCTTCACTCACTTTGCACATATGAATGAAGTCACTATGCTAAGATACAAGATTTTTATTCTGAATTTTATAGAGGTTTGTATCATCCAATGTTTTTTTTTTTGAGTTTGACAAGTGTAAGAGATATTAAAATATGTTCGATTGTTTGTTGCATTGATTGATTGGCTGGTTGATAGATAGATAGATAGATAGATAGATAGATAGATAGATAGATAGATAGATAGATAGATAGATAGATAGATAGATAGATAGATAGATAGATAGATAGATAGATAGATAGATAGATAGATAGATAGATAGATAGATAGATAGATAGATAGATAGATAGATAGATAGATAGATAGATAGATAGATAGATAGATAGATAGATAGATAGATAGATAGATAGATAGATAGATAGATAGATAGATAGATAGATAGATAGATTTATTGATTTATTGATTTATTGATTGGCTGGTTGTTTAACCCCAGAGTTCCATATAATTGTATGTGGTTTGGATTCAATAGTAGCTCGGAGGTGGATCAATGGTTTGCTGGTATGTATTTGTTTGTTCGTTTGTATGTGTGTATGTTTGTTCGTTTGTCGGTTGTTTTAATATGAAATGAGTCAGTGTGCATGATGTCATTTGAATTTCAAATTACACATAGCAACTGATGAATAATATTTGTAATGAAATCCATTTCTTGTTTCAATGTGGGAGTGTTGAATTTTCATGACCTTTCCATGTTGTTGTCTATAAATCTTACTAATTTTAATAATAACAACAATCACTGTTTATCACGCATTCCTTCAGATACGTTTGCCATCCGTCCATCCATCCGTCAATCTATTTATCCATCCATTTTATATCCACTCATTTCTTATCCTTTTATTCATTCATTCATCTATTCGTTCATTTATCTATTCATCCTTTTGACAATTCATTCATCCATCCATCTTTTCATTTAACATTCACTCCTTTAATTTCTTCCCTTCTGACTGGAATTTAAATTAGCCTACCTACAATGTATGTACAGTACATACGCACTTGGAGCTACGATGTTACTTTCATTATTTAGAATAAACTATTCATTTCGAAATCTCGTAACTGATCGTTATTCTAAAATATAATTTATTTGAAATTTATGAGGCCAATAAAGTGTAATTGATTCAATTTTAAAATGAATGTTGACGATACTAAATATCATTTTTGTTCTCTCTCTCTCTTTCTCTCTCTCTCTTTCTCTCTCTCTCACACACACACACACACATATATATATATATATATATATATATATATATACGGATACGAGCGCTCGCACACACGCACACGCATACATAGGTCAGCATGTTAGTGTACGACGATGATGGTAACTTGGATCAGTCGAGCATCATTCCTCTGGTTGATGGTGGCACTGAAGGTTTCAAGGGTAACGTCAGGGTCATCCTTCCCGGGTTAACTCCGTGCATCGAGTGCACCCTCGATTTCTATCCACCTCAGGTATTGATTGGTTGATTGTACGATGGTTGGTTGGTTGATTAACTTAATTAATTATCAAATATACGAAATTATGCATACAAACATACATATATACACATACATACACGCACACACACATATACGCATATATACGCACACAACACAAACAAACGTTCACACAAACATACATACACAAACAGGTGAACTACCCACTTTGCACAATAGCCCACACGCCTCGTCTACCTGAACACTGCATTGAATACGTCAGATTGCTTTTGTGGCCCAAGGAGAACCCATTTGGGGGTGTGTGTGTCTGTGTGTTTGTCTGCCCGCTATTAAAAGAAGTTGCAAACCTCTTTGTCATATCAGACATTATTGCGAATGATATAATTTATTATTGATAAAAAAGAGATAGTTCAGAAGTTTATAAGATAAACTTTCATCACGTTCCATTTCATCGTCCTTCAAAATTTAGATACTGTCTCGATAGATGGCGACAACCCGGAGCACATTCAGTGGATTCTCAAGAAGGCAGTTGAGAGAGGCAATGAGTTCAACATACACGATATCACGTATCGACTGACTCAAGGTCTGTTTGTTTCGTTTTTTTCTGTTTGTGTGTGTGTATGTGTTTGCTTGTTCGTGTGTGTGTTGTATGTGGTTTTATATTTTCCACAATTTTTGAAGGTGTTGTTAAGAACATCATTCCAGCTGTTGCATCTACCAATGCTGTTATAGCTGGTTAGTTAGTGACTTTTTAAACCTATTAAAATTTTGTTATTCTCTTGAATGTTATTTCTGATTTTTTTTTTCATTTATAATTTTCGACGGTTTTATGGTATGGTCATATGTTTTTTGCTGTATATTGTTTGTATAAAATGATTGTGTATTATTGTATATTGTTTCATATTGTTGTATATCGTTGTATACTGCTGCTTATTATTACGTATTGTTGTCTTTTGTTAAGATAGAAGTTGATTATGAAGTGAGTGAATGAATTGCTCAGAATGATTTATATTCATTTATTTTCCTTAGCACTCTGTGCTACTGAAGTGTTCAAGTTAGCTGTCAGGTCGGTTTTGCTTAGAAATGTTTATATTTATAAATTATTATTATTATAATTATACCATCTAATGTATTATTATATAGCTAACTAATTAATTAATTTATTTATTTATTCATCTATTTATTGATATAGTACAAATAATGATTATTTCAAAATCCAGTTGCTATTCACCACTGAACAATTACTTGATCTTCAATGACCTAGAGGGCATATATTCACATGCTTTTGAGGCTGAGAAAAAGGTTTTGGGCGATTATTTTTTTAACTTTTTCATCATTAGATAAGAGATGTTTACAAAAGCGAATGGTTACATAAGATATAGATATATATATATATATATATATATATATATATATATATATAGATATATAAAAAGATATATCCATATTAAATATATTTCACAGGAGGACTGTGCTGTATGCAGCCAGGTTCCACAGTCACTTGCATTTTCATACAGCGACACTCTCCTATCTCTCATCAATTTCTTACAAGAGAGCAAACAATAGTAGGCTGCATATTTGTTTTTGTTCAGTTTTCGTTTCGTTTCATTTATTAAATAATTTCGGTCGTAGTGGTGAACGGTAATTGGATTTTATTTTCGTATGTTTATTGCTCACTAGTACTTATAATACTACTTCTAATAATATTAATAACAATGCTCTGTTAAATCTCTCTCTCTCTCTTCTCTGTCTGTCTCTCTCTGTCTCTCTTTCACACACACACACTCACACAGTCAGTTGAAATCGCCTGGCATCATAACGGAAGTGGCCGGCAAGACGAGGACGTTGTACATGTCCACTGTGAAATCTCTTGAAGCCGCCACCAAGGCCAACCTCAGAAAGACGCTAGCTGGTGTGTGTTCTTTAAGAGGAGCTACTTTTAAATATTTTTTTTGGTTGAATCCTTTCTTCATTTCATTGCTGGAGATTATTGATCGGAGATTAAAAAGTTTAATTTGCTTGTAAAAAAAATCAATTTAAATGAAAATTTTTATTCTTTTTGTCTTCAGAACTGGAGCTGGAAAATGGGCAGCTGATATACGTGGCCGACCAAACATCTCCAAGCAACTTGACATTCAAATTAGTTCTCTCTTGATTTCCATCTTCCTGTCTGCAGATTCTTCAGTTCATGTAGTCTAGCTTTCTTTATATGCGAATTTTCGTAGTTAGTCCGTGAAATGTGTAGCTTTAAGCTCGAGAATTCAATCAAATCTCACGAGGAGTCGTTAATTTGCAACTTTTTAAAGGTTTCAGTTGCGATGTATTATCATCTTTGCCAGTTTAACTGTTACGGTTAATATATTTGTTATACTTGTACATTTTATGGACGCGTCTCAGTGTGTGTGTGTGTGTGCGTGTGTGTGCGTGTGTGTGTGTGATATATGTATGTTTATATATACATATATAAATTTGTATATATTCATATCACTGAACTATTAGACAAGATGCAAAAAATGACAAAATATTTCGTTTACATGTCAGAACTTGCGTCTCTTGGATTTATTTATTAAACAAGGTTTACCAATGTATGTCCGTTTTCAATGTTTCTATTGTGTTTACTGTTCTATTTATAGGAATTTTTTCATTGGTTTTCCATAAAATAATCAACTTTGTATTGACCACTGTACATAAAATGATTTTCGAACTTTTTTCCCAACACTATATCTTTGTTTAAAGTTTAACTCGTTAGCTTCGTTGTTTGTATTCGAGTGTCATCGGTTCGTTGAAAATTCCGACGATGTGTTATTTGAGTTGAAGTCAAGAAGGAACGAATCACGTAAATAAATCAGATCTTTATTGAATTAAACTATTGAGGAGAGATGGATCGAATCCTCGGGGCAATCTTCTTCATGATGGTTGCCATTCTACTCCAGCACTTCTGGTTTTGGTACTGTACCGACGATGACGTCATAATCGACAGTTTTTTGATAGTGACGTGTCATGTTTACTCTTAAGGTTGTCGTATATTCTACACTATATATGTCCTATGTTCTAAATTCTGTGTCATTGTTATTGAAATTCGTTGATTGGTGTTCCATAGAATATACAACTTTGCTCTAACAAAGCTCCCAAATGTTTCTCCTGACCAACACGATGTTTTGGTCTGAGGCTTGGTTACTTTCTTAGTTTGGACGGCATATTCAAGTGCTTTATGTTCTGTTATAATTCCGATACCGATATATATAAATCGAAATTAAGGTAGGGAACGAATTAAATGTAAATAATTGAAAGTGAATTGAAGGAAAATGGATCGCATCCTGGTGGCAATCTTCGTCCTGATGGTAGCCTTCCTGATCCAGTACTCCTGGCAGTGGTACCGTGCCTACGTACACGATGACGTCATACTCGATGTTGACGCCAGCGAGCAACAAACAATGGACCAACGTTTCAAACGTTTTTGATAAAATTTCAGACGTTTCGCGTGATGGCGCTGCGAAAATAGTTTTCTTTTCAATTGACTGTCATTCTTCATTGTTATTAAATATTTAAAAATACTTTAATTTAATTTTTAATAGTATTTAAGAACTCGACATTTGAGTATTTCAACAACACTGGCTACAGCAATAAAATTTGAACTAATAATTTATAATTATGTTATTATATCATTGCTAGTGGGTTCTATAAAATGCATGTCTTGTGAGAAGTAATGAAAGTTGGAGTAAATGTTTATTTTTTAAAATGATTCAAGGATTCTTGTTATTTTTGATGATCCAATGATTCTTGTTATTTTCTATATCGATTTTTCACTAATCATTTTGTAATAATAGATAAAAGTAAAGAATGAAAGTGTTGGAATGTATTTAATCAAAATACTTTATTTCTTAAATATGAACTGTTTTGGCTTATCGTTGAAGGACAAACAAAATGAATTTGATGCCAAATCAATGGAAACCAAAGTTGTTCGAATGGTAATTTTTATATAACAGACATTAGTCTGGAAATCGCATAGCTTTAATACGTTTTAACATTTTAATTGCGACACGCGTGTAATTACAAAAATGCGTATGGCAATGTTCCACTCTTTCTAAACCAACAAATGATTATGTGAGTGAGTAACTCGAAAAATTTGATGGTTTTGTCTTGTACTGTGATCGTGAACAAGGCTAACCTTCAAATTGTTTCAAATTAAAAAGTTTTTTGAAAATTAATCGACTTAACTGCAACCATTTTTTGAGTGCACAGCTGAAAAATACACATTGGCATGTTCGCAGTCTCGTGTTACAATACAGCCTTTCCAATCTTTTACCAGCACTTGTAACAGCTCAACTTATTTTTAGGTCCTAGAAAATGAACGAGTGAACCAGTGTTGTGCATCATATACACTAACACGTTGATTACTTTAAAACCTTACTTTGTGTGTGGGCTTACGTCAAGCCATTGAAACATTCGTGTTATTCATGAAACAAGCATCTGTTGAAAGTTTTAAAATATATGAAAATGCAATTGTCTATTTCTTTTTTTATAAACAAAGAGTTCATCGTCTCATGATTCGAATTATGATGTAACTTTGCACGATTTGTTTGTCAAATGTGCCCAAAAAGTAAACCTTAAATTAACATTTTGATATGCAAATGATAATTAATTATTCAGACTTCTCTACAAGCCTAAATCTCGCATCAGTTTGTGCATTTGGCAAACGAACAACAAAATCATCTCCTGTTGACGTTTCATTTGAATGCAGATGTTACTGTATTAATTATTGATTACATTCGCGTTCACGTTTCAACCTACCTACATACATACTTACCGGCTAGTGTACTGCACTGTACTGTGTACAGCACACTTTATTTCATACACTTGCATCGCTCTACTACTTCTACTACTATTTCAACAACCACTGCTGCTGCTACTATTACTACAACTGCTACTGCTGCTACTACTATTACTACTACTACTATTACTAATACTACTATACACAGACACACGTGTATGATATTGATATAAATACATCAAATATATCACAATACTTTGTAATGGTAGTAAACTCTACTATAAATGAAAAGTATAAAGGTTAATTTTTACTTATTTTAGTAAACCACTTTATGAAGAAAATTTTGGCTCTGCTGTTGACCAATAAATGATGTCTTGCTGGTTGTTGTAGTTTTAGTTTAGTTTTTCTGTTTTATTGATTTGTTTTTTCTATCGAATCGATCGTCGCGAAGATGTGTTTGTTGCAATGTCAAGCTGCGGATGAAAAAGGATTATTTGTGATTTTATTGCAACAAATAACAATATATTGTTTGAAAACTTAAAAGGAATTTAAATGAAACCAGAAACTAATCATACCCTTTTAAAACCTAGTGGATTGAAAAATTTATCCAACATTTTGGCTGCTTGATATGCTTTACAGTTTATACGATCATTTTTTATATTTCAATTTGTCTAATTCCACATAAAAATGTCTTACTTTATTTACTAAAAATATCTTAAAGCAATGACCGTTAAAATTGGATATCGGCTAAATTCCGTAGAACAGGTAGGCCGCACGGATCTGAAACTTCCTCTACTGGTAATAATATTTAGTGAAGATGCGTATCTTACCCATATATGTGTGTACTTACATTATATTCTACCTAAGAATCAGACTTTTTTCAATCTTCGCAAAATATATCCCGCATTTTTAAATTGTAACGAAATTATTTCTCGCCTGCTACTTTCAAGTGTTTAAGTACACAATTATGGATAGTTTTGCCCTTACTCCTTATACAGTATTCATTTTGAATTTCGAGTTTGATTAATTATTAAAAGGATAATGATTCATAATTCAGTGATAATTTGAATTAATTTTTGAAGGTTTCATCAACGAATATTTTTAAGTTCTTGGAATAAAAGTAAAAAAAAAATCATGGACAGCAAGCAACAATTACGAAGATTTAAATATGTCAACCTGAATGAAGTTTTTAAAGTATTTTATGAAAATAAATTTATAAAGACGGACAATTTGAACGACTATATAATGTGATTGACGTTAATTTAATACTGCGTTGTTGTCTACTGTTATCAGCACGCGTTGCAAATAAATAGGGCACTGTTCGAAATTATTTCTGTTCGTATAAAATCCAAACATTACTTCTTGTTCAGTAACAAATTAAAATTAGATTTATCGATTTTAGAAATCGCTTTAACTTTTGAAGTGATCTGTAACCCCGTCAGTCCGTTCCGTCGCTGGCAGAGCCTCCCGAAATTCGAAACAACCGCCTTTTTGTTGAATTTGATGAAAGGGTGATGGCAATTAGGATTATCCGGCGATGATGTTGAACTGTGACTACCTCTTTCCACATCTGCAGTTTCCCCCGTTGAAGATGGTGGTGATAGGTTGGATGAGCTGACGTCATTCTCCAACCACGATTTGACGGAAATCGTTGGGCTGTTTCTGTTGTTTAGATCGGATTGGTTTCTCCGTGGAAATCTTGGCTTCACGTGTTTGTATTGTAACTTTTGTCTGGAGAATACGTCAAAAATAGGCACGGTTAACTTGGTGTTTTGCTCAGGCAGCGACGAATTTGTTGGTGGTGGGTGGAATATTTCATTTTGATGGGATGCTGCTGAGTAAGAGTTAACTCTATCGCCGTGCGAATTAATTATCTTCCTTAAATTTACCATTTTTTTAATACATAGAATGCTTGCTGGCTCCCCACGAGTGTCATTATTAGACTCGCATTCATTTCTGTTCATTGCAACTGCGTGCCTCTTTTCTTTTGAACTACATCCGGACTCGACGCTGTTTCTTAACTGTTGAAGATCCGGACAGCTACTCGTCCTTCTTTCACTAGATACGGGTGGGTCTGGAGTTGTTTCGCAGTCACTGCACGCTCTTTCTTGGTTCAGAATGATTGCGTTCGTCGTTTCGTATTCATTTTCTACTGTTTCCAATTTTTTTCTGTCATCGCTGTTATCCATATTTCGCAGTAGTTTCCAGCGATTTGTTGATTTGATTCTGTTTTCTATTTGCCAGTTTTCAAGTTCTGTTAGTTTTTGATAACTTATTTCAAATAAAATTTTGTATAAATTGTTCCATTTGATGTCATCTTCATCGGGAAACATCTGAAATTTTTTCTCTGGCTTCACTGTTTTTTTCTGACAATTGGAATTGGTTTCAGATTTCGTTTCAGATTTGAGAAAACTTCCATTGTTGGAAGTACAGACTTCTTTTGAACTCTTCAACTGCTCAATTTCATTTTCCAACTTTTCCATCTCCACTTTATTTTTTTCTTCTTGCTCGTTCAACAAATCTCTCAACATCTTGTTCTCTCGAGTTAAATCTTCACATTTTTCCATTAGCCAAGCGACTTTTTCTTTAAAAATTAGGAACCTTTTTTCATGTTGGGAGTTAAGTTTGCTAAGAAGCGTTTGGAAACTTTTTTCTTGACTGAATAACTGCTGTGAAATATATTTATTATGATTTTTTTCATCATTCAATTTGTTGTGCAGTCGTAACAACGTCGTCTGAAGCTTAAATAATGGATCAGTAGTCAACGGCTTGTTGCGCTGTTTCAGACTTGAATGTTTTTGACCAGGAGGCTTCTTATTTATGGCAGCTGTTTTTGAATTGAGGTCATCTTCTAGGCAATGAGCGCTGTCAAGACATTTTATATCGTTTTTAGGTTTGTTGTTAAAAGAAGGCTGAAGATATTCATAATTACTGCGTTTGTTAGCATTGTTATCGTCATCTTCAGTGCAATGGTTCTGATTATTGTGGCAATCCTTTTTCTTCCAGCTAGTTGGGTCAGATATCTTCCGTATGAGGCGTCTCACGTGCTCAGTTTTATTTTTATCGATAACACTGCTGCTGCTTCGAGCTGCATGATTGCTGTTTTTGTAACGCATATCAGTGTGGCCGAAGTTTTTGCAGCTAACATGTAAAATTTTGTCCTTGTCGTTGATGTTGTAATTTAACAAAATGTTGTTGTTTGGGTTGTTGTTATTGTTTGTCGTGCATTTGTTATCTGGGGAGACGAAACTTGTTTGATTAAAAACGTCAGGACTGACGGATCTGGACATCATGAACATTTTGCAACACTGCTTTCTGTGTAAATTTCTGCTCGACGACCTGTTGACATTGTTGCTGGAGTTGACATTGTTGATGTTGTTAGTGGTGTTGTTGCTGGAGTTGATTTTGTTGATGTTGTTAGCGGTGGAGTTTGTAGAGTTGATGTTGTTGATGTTGTTGTTGATGGAGTTGACGCTGACGACGTTGTAGTTGTTTGCGTCAATTTTTAATGTGTCATTATCATCATTTGCTGTGCAATTCTTGCAAACATTTTTTCGTTTTGTCACAGTTGGTAGTGTGTTGAAGTTGTTTGTCGTGTTGTCAGTTTCAGCAGATTTCGAATTTACGATGCGTACTTTGCTGGCAACATTAACCTCTATCATCTGCATGTTGGCGTTGCCGTCGTTGTTGTTGCGGTCATCTGCGCCATGAAATGAGTCTCCCTTCATCAACTGGTCGAGTTTTTTCCCGTCGATATTTTTACGCTGCTGCTGCTGCGTAAGTTTGAGGCGGAGTCTTCGCTGGAAAAGTTGTTTGTTCTGTTGGACGGTTTGCTCGAGGTCACTTTCTCCAGTTTTGGTTCGTTCCAGATCGGACATCGTTTTTCAAAAATTTTTCTTTTGTAAATACGGACACTTATCTTGAAGATTGTTTTTTTTTATGGTTTACAGAAATCTAAATTTAGCGAATTAACGTTCGGTGACCAGAGGATAATCAAAAGTATGAAGTAGTATATGAACTTGTCTTTGAACTGCAATGTAACAATATTAAAATATAATAATTAGTTGTTAAACTAGTTTTTAAACTAATTTTTTCAAACTGATAAGTTCATTTGTTTTAAATGTTATTTTTAGTCAATTTGTTTGAGTGAACGATTAACACTTACAAATTAAAATACACTAAAAAAGAACAAATAACGACATCAAATACAAAGCGAAACCATAAACACCTCCATAAAACTGTGAATTGAGCTATCAAATTGAGTGAACATTCATGTATTCTTATCAAACTGGATGCTAATGTGATTGAAATCAAACTTATGACTGACAACCATCACATTTGCCAAGCTTTTAAGATCAGACAATCAAGAATTCTACGAATTATTATACAATAATGATCATTTAATGCTAGATTAACTCCCATATCATTCGCATATCTTGAAATAGAGATACAACTAAGAAAAAATATTTCTTTGATATTGGAACATCAACCGTAATAAAATATTAACTTTTAAAATTTAATTAATAGCATTATTATCTTAAAAATAAAAACTTACAAGATAAAATAACATTTATTTATACCTAAGTGATGTAAACGTTAGTGGTTCATTTCATGAAATATACAAACCATGTGTTATGTGGTATGTGCGTATGTGTGCATGTTACGAGCTAAAGAATTCTTGATACAATTGTAAAAAAAATCTTAGATACTACAAATAGGTTATTTATTTATTTGCGTGTGTGTGCTTGTGTGCATGTGTGCTTGTACGGTTGTATCTGTCAACATAATTTTTTACCACACACGCATACGTACAAGCACGAGTTAACGTATTGATTAATAATAGCATTTTATGTTATAAACACAACACAAACGCTCGCGCGCACACATGCACTCACATAAAAACACACACACATACACACACACAGAAAGACACACACACACATACACAGAAAGACACGCACATACACACTGACACATGCACACAAACACACACACACACTTACAAACATAATTTATTACTAACATAAACAGATGTCAATGTACGAAGAATTGCATATAAATTGCGTTCGTGAAGAGTTGTTGGAAATTTTATAAACAAGTCGGTTGGATATGATAGTGTATGACTGGTGTTCAATCACTGAATGATTCAATCAGTCATACAATCAGTTAATGGGTGACGAACGAAGACAGTGCCGACTCAGAAACTAGTGAAATCTCTAGCCTTATGGAGTCAATTGTTTCCGATGAAGATACGTCAACTCCTTTACAAACCGCCGGTATTAGCTTTGAAGAATATGAAACCGAATCATCAAAATCTAGTGACAATGAGGATGAAGAAATACGTTTGAATTACACGCATGTATGTATGCATGTATGTATGTATTTGTATGTATGCATGCATGTATGTGTGTATGTATTATGCATGTATTTTTATGTCTGTGTGTGTGTGTGTGTGTTGTGTTTTACCGTTGTTTGTATGTTTGTGTACGTTATATATACACGTGCGTATGTACAGATGCTAATGTAGCCTATGTTTGAGAGTATTTGCGCTAAACACGCAACACAAAAAAAGATGGAGAGCTGCATTTTTAAGAAAACAAACAAGTGAAGAAGAAGAATCACTTATTAGAACGGCATTTAGTGAGAAGCCCCATCGCCGCGTCAAGGCAGCCGTTCACGAGGCGGATAATAATAAAAATAATAGTCTAAAAATAATAAGTAACGAAATAAATAATGAATACTTCGAAACAATATTTCATGGCACTAATTAAAACAACACTTTCTTTGTACCGATAAACTAACCCCCCCCCCACACACACACACACGCACAGACACGAACTCACACCGATACTTACACATATATACACACATACATACGCACAGCATCCAACATTTAACAGACTCAAACGCACTGATTAAACTCGAGTAATTTAGTGAAATATTATATTAACAACAAAGTATGATCGCTAATTTATCGCTAAATACTTACGATGAATTACGTGTTCCTAAATGTTCCTAATAAATATTTGGTTTATTATTTTGTAATATGTTGATTAGTTCTATGTATAATACACACATCAACACACACACACGCACACGCACAAACACACGCAATGAAAAAATTATCCAGTCGGAACAAAATATAGTATGACGTAAATTTAAATTTTGTATGTGTGCATGTGTGTTTGTGTGTATATATATATATATATGTGTGTGTAGATATAATTGCACGTGTGTGTTTGTGTGCGTATATTTATATGCGTGGATGGGTGCACGCAAAGCGATATTGTATTTAAATGTGATAAGGAATTGATAAGCTTAAAAGGAAAGCTATTATAAGGGTAGGTTACATGGGCGATACTTGATGCAAAATTTTAAGTTGAAAAGAAGATTACTTACGTTGTATTTGAATGTTGATGGATATGTAAGTGGGAGGTAGGTAGGTAGGTGGGTGGACAGTGGCACACCCTGAATTTTCCGGTGGTGGGTCGCCGGATGACGTAAAATATTATGGCGTAAAATATTACACACGACATCTTCAAAATTTTATTTTTTTATGGTCCGGGGTGCCATCAAAACACATGTGTTACTATAAAAACCATTGTGTGCGTGTGCGTGTTTGTATGTGTTTGTGTGCATGTGTGTGCGAGCGTGTGTGTACAAAAATTATGTATCAAAATATATATATATATTTATATATATGTTGGTAATAGACCATAATTTTTACAATATTCTATAAATTCTACCGAATGTTCGGTATTGGGAGAGTTCAAATTTTCAAATTGTTCAAATTGAGAGAGAAGAAGGAAGTGAGATATAAAGAGAAAGATAGAGAGAGAGAGAGAGAGAGAGAGAGAGAGAGAGAGAGAGAGAGAGAGAGAAAGAAAAAGAGAGAGAGAGAGGAAGAAAGAGAGAGAGAGAGAGAAAAGAGAAAGAGAGAAAATAAGATTTTTATTTATTAACTTTTTGAACTTACGTATCAGATAAACGTCCTTAATGTTTTGATTATCATGTCTGACAGATATTTGGAGCGTTGAAACGCCGGAGTATATAAATAATTACAAACAAAATATGTGTTCATTATACAAAAATGGTATGGCATGGAGAATTTATATAGCACCCCTCTATGTAAAACTCAGAGGCGCTGTTCGAGAAGCTGCCGGTCAAAAAAGTGATGTTTAAGTCGTTTTCGGAACATGTCTCTTTCATCCATACTATCAACGACATCATCGGGCAGTTTATTCCAAACCTCCGCTGCAGCCAGGGAGAAACGACGCCGTCCATAATTTTCTGTCCTGAACCTAGGAACAACGAGTTTCTTTTTGGTAGAGGATCTGAGTTTTCGCCCCCCGGCAGCCGTAGGGACAGGCACGATCAGCTGTTGAAGGTATCGAGGATCAAGCCCCATCAAACTGTCTCTTGTAAACATTGCTATTCTGAATTCGATTCTATAACAAACTGGCAACCAGTGAAGTTCATTTCGCATATATGATGAAACAGATTCATATTTTGTTACACCAGCAATTATTCTTGCTGCAGTGTTCAGAATAGACAGTATGCAGTTTTTAAGATACAAGCTTGTACCATAGAGGATTGAACTGCAGTAATCTAAAAAAAATATGTTTGTATGTTTATCTATGTATGCGTATCTGTGTGTATGTGTGTGTATGTATATTTAAAACAAAACACATAACATACAAACTACTTATATTAATTTTATTTAAGCGAACAGTTAACAGTGAACAGTTTTTTTTTCAAATGCCTGCCTTTAGTTTTACTTTAGTATACCTCAACAATGCATCGTGTACACTACACATTAGGGTGGTCACAAGAAATTTTTTTTCAAAATTTTATCGGGGGAACCCCCTAAATTGTGCCACTTGACTAAAAAATGACATTTGTAAAGTTTTAACTCAATTGGATAATGCTAACCCGTGCCTCATCGAGGTTTAAATTTCGAAAATACGCACATACATACACGTACACACGCACGCACACAAACACGCACACACATGCACACACACGCACACAAACATACGTAAATATATACAATTCTTAGTCATAATAATAATAAATAATAATAAATAAAAATAATATAGATTAATGAAATAGGAGATTCAGAGATAAATATAGATTTTTTTTAAAGTTTTAAAACTTTGCAAAGGTCTGGAGATAAATCATTATTAGCATCAGATCATAAGCCTGATATATGTTATTAATAAATAAATCATCAAAGTAGAAATTTTATATCTAATTTGAATAAAAAGTTTCTAACAAGATTTTCTGCTAAAAGCCAAACCTTACTAAGCGGAATTTAAACAAATAATGATTCTATTAGCTAAAAAATCAAATAAACATCTCGTTAAAACATGCCACACACACACACGACACAACACACACACACACACTCACACACAGACACACACACACATACAACAAACTCACACAAACACGCACACACTCAATAATAAAAACACACACACAAACAAGCAATTTTTCGATTTTGATATTTTCTTATCTGTTTGTTAGTTTGTTGTTTCTGGATGAAAGATATTTCAATTATTTTTATTAAAATAAACAAAAATATTACTATTGAATCTATATTTATATTTATATTAATATTGAGTATATTTATATCATAATTATATCACTGTCATAATTATATTTATAATTAAGATAGAAATTATGAATATTTATATACTAAATCATTCAAGACCTTATTTGTTCAGCTTTTCAACGAGCAAAAAGTAAATAAATTCATTATTCAATTAGCGGGTCGCCTAACGCATCATGGAAATTTTTTTATATAAAATTTGTCGAGTTGTGTTAAATGTTTCTCAATGATTGTACAAGATATTCATCTTTATCGCTTTATCATCTTCGTATTCATCATCACCATAATTGCCATCATCATCGCCATCTTCATCGTCATTTTCGTTGTCTTAATCATCGTCATCACCATCATCATCATCATCGTCATCACCATAATCATCAACAACATCTTCTTCACCATCATCATCATCATCATCATTTTTGTTGTCATCATCATCACCGTCATCATCATCGTCATCACCATAATCATCAACAATATCTTCATCATCATCATCATCGTCATCACCATCATCATCGTCGTCATCATCATCGTCGTCGTCATCATCGTCATTAAATCAGTGAGAACGATTTTAATTACATTGTTTACGTCCTTGTTATTGTTTCCATGATACGTTATAAACATACATTATTTCGATCTTTCGTTCCTTCGTTCAATAAGAAAAGAAACAAATAATTATAGAATTAACTATTCATATATTTAATTTAATATCTACATAGTACATATTTAAACATGGTTGTAATAATATTATTAATAATAATATAACAATAACAATTACGTCAAATTAATTTAATGTATTAATGTAGCAGATATGCAGTGATAAGATTTAAATTAAAATTTGATTACCAACAATCAATCAGTCAATCAGTCAGTCAGCCAGCCAGCCATCTTCATCGTCACCGTCGTCATCACCATCATTCTCCTCACCATATTTATCACGACTTACTCACTTCTCATATCTTCTTTATGATTATTTTAAATTCTAATATCAACAATTCTTTTGTTTTTCAACTCTTCAAAACAAATTTTATCGAAACATAATGACCGTACCCTAATATAATTTTGTTTTCGACTAGTCATATATTTAACTAGTTAATTAATTAATTAATCAACCAACCAACCGACCAACTAATTTATTTATAAAATAATTAATTTCATTGTTAATTGAAACCTTATTAAATTAAAATATTAATAGACGATATCCATGGTTTGACGAAGTTCTCAATCAGCAATTTGCTAAGCATGCTTCTATTGAATGTATATACAGAACATATATATATATATATATATATATAATTTGTATATATATATATATATATATATATATTGTAGGTGTTCTAGTGAGTTTAATGCTGATATACGTGTAGATTTATCGAGTTAATTTGGACGTAGGATGCAAAACTAGAGAAGAAATAGATGAAATGAGAGTGAGAGAGAGAGAGAAAGAGAGAGAGAAAGAAAGAAAGAAAGAGAGAGAAATAGAAAGAAAGGATTAACAAAGATGCAAATAGAAAAAAAGAAAGAGAGAAAGAAGTAAGATGGTAAGAAAGGTAGATAAAGCGAGAGAGAGAAAGAGAGAAGGATGAGAGATGGTTTAAAAAGTTCCATACGGGTTTAAATATTTTTATTTTTCCAAAGAACTAACTCCAAAATACTTGTCATCATCGACGTTTCTTATTCACATCTAATGTCAGTCTGTCTATTTGTTACATCAAATTATAACTTTGTAAATTGAAACGAATTTAAACTAATCTTAGATGTACAAACTCTATAACTAATACTTAGATTTTTAAATAGTACACTATCACTATAATGATATTACACATTGCTAATTAATTAAAACTCTGTGACTTGAGACTTTTAAACAAATGACTAACTAAAACATATCATTTAACTGACAATTCACTAGGAAATTAATAATAATTAATACTGAAAGTTTCACATAAATATACATTAATTTACACTCACACAGACACACACACACATACACAGACAGACAGACAGACACACACGCACACATATTTTTTTCATTATTCCAAATAATCGCGCCATATTTTGTTTTTAGACGATACTCAAACAAAACGGCTATACCACATGACGTTATCCTGACATCTAGGGAACTAGGGAATAAAAACATTTATTTATTTATAATTATAATTTATAATAATTTATTTATAATTAATTACGCAAAAAATACTAGAACGATATTAAACAAAAAAATTACATTCCGTTGTCTTTCACACAATAAATCAAATTTTAGCAAAATAATTTTCTGTTAATTTTTTTGAAATTAATTCTAATCATCTTCTTGCAAAACCAAAAATTTATATCTAAATTTACCCATGCAATATCCAAAAAACTTTATAATAAACATTTGAATAAGCATACAAGTGAATGAATTAATGAACGAATGCATGAACGATTGAACAAGCGAACGAACGAACGAACGAATTACAAGAAAAACAAAAAATTTAACAAACAAATCAATAAAATGTTCACAATTAACCAATAACAACAATTAAACAACCAACTATAAAATATTATTATATAAATCAAACGGTCTATCTCACATAAAATTGATAACAATTCAATATCTGCCAAATGATTTATCAGGGACGAAAGCTTGATTGTCAAAACCATCCTCTCGGATAGTGCAGATTACTTCCTCACGGTTCCACCTACTAGAACAACCTGAACTTCTTACATTGTTACTGCCTTTAGTAAATTTATCGTTGTGAATACTTGTTTTTCTACTTGTACTACTTAAGCTCTGGTCTATCGCTGCAGTGTTAGTAGTGTAAGTGGTATTTGTGCTAGTATTTGTAACGGTAGTAGGTGTAAAATTAACTGAATTGGCGGTAGTAGTAGTAATAGAAGCAGCAGCAACAGTAGTAGTAGTGGTTGTATTTGTAGTAGTTGTAGTAGTAGCAGCAGTAGATGTAGTAGTGTTAGTAATGATATTAGTGCTATGTACAATTGCCTGGTGACTTTTTGCAAAAAAATTATCGCATGGGTATTTTGAATTCAAAACTGACCTCCTGGTCAAATGTATTCTACTTTTATCACTCTTTTTCATGCTTAAATTTTTAATCCTGCTAATGAAAGTTTCGTAAAAGTCAACAGAATCGCCGTAGAGTACGTGAGAACCATCGAGATAGCCACGGCAGCTGACCTGCCCACCACAGTTTGAGGACCTCAAGTTTGAACTTTTAACAATCAACAATATTGACTCGGTGGCCAAGCGTTTCAACAGTTCGTTTTTGATTAATTTCGGAATTGAAATGTCCTTTAGAGTGTTTCCCCTGGTGCTGTTTGACTGCAGTATGGCAAACCAAAAGTCATACTGTTTGAGGGTGGATATTTTTGTTGATGGAAAGTATATTTTTTCGTTTTTGATGTTGATGTGTTTTGTGTTGTTGTTACTGTATATTGTTTTGCTATTGTTGCTGTACATCGTGTTGTTGTTGTTGTTGCGTGTTGTGTTGTTGTTATTGAAAGCTGCGTTGTTGTGTGCGATGAGATCGTTAATGTCGTTGTCATTGTATGTGCAGTTGTCGTTAACGCTGCGTGTTTCGCTAATGTACACATCACTTTCTCTTAATAATTTGTGGATGTTTCTGTAAACGCAACTGTCGTTACAGTTGTTACTACTCTCGCGACAAACATCGGCATCGTCGTCGTCGTAGTAGCCAACTTCACAAAACGTCAACTCCCCAGTGACAACGTGTCTACGAATGACTGCACACACGTTGTGAACAAATTGTCTGTAACTGTTGTCGTCGTTGTTGTCCTCCTCACCGTCGTTACTAACGCTGCTGCAGCGACTGCAGCTTCTGATGTGGTTGTCATTTCTAGAGTCGTAACATTTTTGAAGAGAGAGTATCAAATACCTGAGTCTTGAATGCTTGTGTATTGTCGGCCCTGATGGCGAAGACGACGATGAGGATGATGATAATGTAGTTGTTGTTGATGTAGTTGATGTGATTAATGATGACAATGATGTTGGTGTATTTATTGATTTTGTTGATGTACTCGGTAAAGAAGATGAAGACGACGACGACGAGCATAAAAAGTTGACATTTTTTTCTTTGAAGCCACCCCACCAGACACACAACTTCACGTATTCATCCTTCTTTCGTTTCAGCAAAACAAACAACACCAACTGCCAAACAACCACAACCACAACAATCGCAATTAACGCTATCAGAAAGATGGACACCACAGCTACTACAACGTCATCAAAGCGCAACGATGACGTCATTAATTTTTTCGCCGGGCACATATCCGATTTGCCGCCAAAGTCATTTCCGGTTTTGCTGCTTTTCGCTTCAAGACTTCCTGCTGGCTTATGATTTGCGTTCATTACCATTCCAACGCAATTAACTTCCGCGTAATCCAATAGCGATTTTTCATCGGTCGTTACGTTTTTAATGACCTCTCGTAAAAAATATTTATAATCTTTAAATTTCATTTCCGTTTTTGACGCGCATGGGCAGCGTAGTGGGTTGTCGCGCAGCGTGATGCGTCGGACGCTCGGTAGCGATTGCAGCAGAAAGATGGGAGGAGCCACCAAGTGGTTGTGGTGCAGGTAAATGACCTTCAGAGAGGTGAAGTGGCTGAAGATTTTGGAAGATATGAGTAAAGATGATGGCGAAAAAGAAGAAGATGAGGACGACGATGATGATGCGGATCGTGCTGGCGACAAGGATTTCAATTGGTTGTATGACAGATCGATCAATAAAACATTTGACGGTTCAATGCCTAGCTTATATCTGTAATCATACTCGTCACCGTCATCATCATCACCACCACCATCCCTTTCATCATCATCATCGTCGTCGTTCTCATCATCAAAACCATCATTATTAACACCAAATTGGTTACTTTTATCATCGTCATCAACAACATTTTCGCCATCAAACTCAGGCAAGTGACTGATTAGAAAATTTATATTCTCAAAATAGTTATGTGATAGATCGAGAAGGGTGTACAAAGATTTGTTCGGCACAAACTTGATCCAGCTTGCACCTAAATACGAGCAGTTGATGTTATAGACGCTGTGGCCGTGGTGGTCGGCAAGAACGGAGCTTGCTACACTTTCGACTGGAACGTCTCGACAGCTGCACGTGTTGGGGCAGTAGAAATCCGTTGGCCGGCACTTTATTGAGTTGTGGCTGGTGTCGTCAGTTGCTTGTGGCTGGGTTGATTGTTCTATGAAGTCTTTTATTTTTAGTTTTTTAAGTTTGTTAATCGTTTGAATGCTGTCGTTAACTTTGGGATTAATATTTATGTTGATGTTGTTGTTGTTCATTTTGTTGCTTGTGTTGCTTTTGTCAGCAAAATATGAAAGACCATGTTTAAATGATACATTAGAGTTACTGTAAACATTGCTAGCTCTCTTTCGAACAGATGACACATCAGTTTTATTTATTCTATCAACATTTAAATTATCTTCTTCACTGTAATAACTACATTCAATATTCAGCCAGTTCTCAAGGTTGGATTTGAACCTGGTACCATCGAAATAGACCTGATCGAGAAATTGCAAGTAGGCTACCTTCTCGACTAGGGAACAATCACACGTGATCGGGTTATTTTGGAGGTTGAGTTGGATGAGGTTCCAGTTTTTGAACCTTTTCGTAACTTCGTCGACGTTCTCTAGCAGTGTTGTTATCATCACAGTCTCATTTTGTGATGACGATGAAGATGACGACGATGAAGAAGAAGATGACGACGGAGATGATGACGATAATGATAAAAATGATGACGGTTGCAAATGGTAAGATCCGGAAGGAGAGAGAATGGTGTAAGAGGGAGAGGGCGGTAGAATGTCAGTCAGCAGTTGATCTACAATGTTATCCCTCATGTCGACGCTTCCTCTGCATTGCAGTTTCGTGTTATTATTATTATTGTTATTATTATTATTGTTATTATTATTGTTGTTATTAGTGTTGTTATTGTTGTTGTTGTTGTTAAAGGGGTGATGATGATGATTGTTGTTGTTGTTGTGGTTGTTGTTGTTGTTCATGGAAACGTCTTCGTATGATAATTCCTGACGGTCAAAAAAAATGGCGATTTGAAATTTGAGAATCAAGAAAAATATTAAATATTATATTACATCAATTAGTTATTATTGTTGAGTTATTATTATTGTTATTATTATTACTATTAAATTAATTCACACACACACGCACACCACACACACACATACACACACCACACTCAGCGTGTATGAATTGAATAGGCGTGAACCCACGTATTACATTCAAACTCTTCGGACACTGCAAAAACCCCAACAAAAACAACAACAGCAACAACAACAACATAAACCAAACAGAACAGTAACAATAACAATAAAAATATTGATCACTGATAAAGAAGATATCTATCTTTAAACAACTTAATCATCTGCTGTTTTTTATCTCTTACTCACATCTCTTTCTCCCTCTCTCTCTCTCTCTCTCTCTCTCTCTCTCTCTCTTTCTCTTTCTTTCTCTCTCTCTCAACACTTTGGAGAGAGATTAATGAAATTGATGGTGATGTGATGACGATAAGTATGAATAAAATGATAATGATCACGATGACGATGATGATGATGACTGTGATAACACACACAGACCAGGCCAAAACTAACCTGGTGCTGAAACAGAGTCATCATCTTCATAACCGACTCCACATTCAACTTGTTGCTACTCAGATCAATTTTCACCACTTTATCCGTGTCTACATTCTTACAAAGCCTGTAAAACGCATACTTGTATATGTATGTCAGTTCGTTCTTTTGCATGTTTATGGTTTGAATATTTGGCAGATAGAGAAAGGTCATGCTGATAATTTTGTGAAGTCTGTTGTTTGATAGGTCGATGTGTTGCAACTTGCCATTCGTAAAGGCTCCCACGTCTAGCCAATTGATTTGGTTGTTCTAAATGTGGAAGTGAATGATTGGTTGGCCGGTTATGGGTGGCTTGTTTGTATGAATGTGATTGGTTTAGTATGGTTGAATAAACTGAACCCGATTGGTCGATCGTCTGATAGGGCTAAATGTGATTGGTTTATTTATTTTATTCAAAACGTGATCGGTTGATTGATAAGATTTTAAAAAAATTGGATTAAAATGATTCTTCAAAAATGATTTCGATTCATTATCGACTGGTTACTAGGGTGAAAATGTGGATAGTTTTGTGGTTTTTAATTTATTGGTTGGCTGAATGACAAATGTCTTTGGTTGATCGATCAATAATTGATTTTAATTTAAATAATTTTTAATAATCTCGAAATTGTTTATTACGCATTAACCTGCAATTCGATAGACTCCAACTCGTGCAAATGTTCAACGACGTACCTCGGAAGCAGTTGTAGGCTGTTGTCGTCTGAAACGTCAATTAGTTTAGAAAATTCTCATCTCTATGGTTAATAATTTTTTGGAAAAATTAACTGAAAGAATAAATATTTGTAACAAAACGTATGAAAAAATATTTTAAATAAATTATTAAATAAAATACATGTGATAAATAATAAATTAATGAAAAATAAAAGCTTGTTAAGAGAGTGGTAAAAAGAAGAAATCAAATTGCGAAATTCCTAACTCAATTTTAGAACACGGACCCCACAGAGAGCTCCTTTGAATGCTAACTCATCGACAGTGGTCAGTTTGTTAAAACTCAAATCGACAACTTCTAGGTTGGACCACTTGTGTGATGGACAGAAATCCGCCCTAAAAATCGGATCTAGGTGGTCACTGTATGTGCTGCTTTGTAGTTGACGTTTGGGGCGTTTTAGTGGCTGTAGAATTTGAGGTGGCTGTGAAAGTTTTGGCTGCTGTGGTTGTTGTGGTGGTTGCGGTTGTTGTTGTTGTTTTGGCGCCTGCTGCTGTTGTTGTTGTTGTGGGGGTTCAGAATTATTTTTTTTCATTTTACCTAACAATAGTCGTTGCGAAAATTGTTTTCCAAGTTGTTGTGTGAAACGTGACGTTGAATTGTTGTTCATCTCGTTGACTGATACATCTGCCGTATAATCATTCAGGTTAGCGTTGTTCTGGGTGACTTCGTAGTTATCATCACCATCTTCGTTGCCATCCTCATCTTCGTTATACTCACCATCGTCGTTTTTAATGTAACTCACGTAACCGCCACTTTTATCATTATCACCAGCGTTATCACTATCATCATCATCATCACCTACACCCACGTTATCATCATCATCATGGTCACCGTCATCTGTGACGTTATCATCATCGTCGTCGTCCTCATCGTCATTTTCTGCATCAGTTCTATTATATTTGCTATTTAAATTATCCTCCTCATCATCATCCTCGTCCTCTTCAACACCATCGGCATCATCTTCTATTTTATTTATTATCTTTTGTTCCGGATCACTTCCGTCGGTACAGTGATGATCGTCAAGCGGGGCAAGTGTTGCGAACGAAAGAGGCCAGATTATGCTGATGTGATTGTGTGATAGATTGATGCTACGAATGCCATGCAGGTTGACAAATGTGCAATTTTCAATGGAGGCGATGTGATTGAAAGATAGATCGATTGATGCCAACCGGTTGAAAGCCGGCAGGTTATTGAATGAGTTGCTTTCAATTGTTTTTATGTTGTTGTGAGACAGATTGATTGATTTGACGTGGGGTGTTGTTGTTGTTTGTGTTGCGGTTGTTGTTGTTTTTGTTTGGGATGTTGTTGTTGTTTGTGTTTTTGTTGGTGATTGATATGTTGGGGTGTTAACGCTGTTGCTGTTGTTGCTGTTAATGTTAGAGCCTATGTTTTTGATGTCGTAATAATAGAAGTGATAATTGTTGTTGTTGCTATTGTTGTTGTCGTTATTAGTATCATCACTGTTAAAAAACATATTGACTTTTTTGCTGTTGTCATTATTGTTAACAATCATGTTGTTGTTGTTGTTGTTGATGTTGTTGTTGATATAACTGTTGCTACCAACACCAGCCAACACGTTGATGAAACTTTTTGTAACGTGTTGTATGTTGTTGTAGGATAGGTTCCAACGTTCAACATTGACAAAATTTTTTGTGACCAGTGAAAAAAAACTGGTCTCTGTTAATTTATTGTTGGAGAGATTGAGCTGTTCAACGAGATAAGTTTTGCGTTTCGTTTCGATTTCGTTATTATTATTATTATTATTGTAGTTGTTGTTGTTGTTATTACTATTGTTATTATTATTACTGTAGTTGTCTATGTTTTTATTGTTGTCACTATTCGTAATGTTATTAACGTTGATGTCATATTTGCTGAAGTTTCCATTTATGCTATTAATATTATTGTTGTTTCTTTCACTGTTATTATAATTATTATTATTATTATCATTGCTAGTGTTGTTGTTGTTGTTGTTATTCCGTTTACAAATGACGTCATGATTTATCATTGTGACGTAGCTAATGCTGTTGAATGACAGATCTAAAGAATTGGCATCCGATGCATTTATAACGTTTAAAACATTCTGCAAGTTTAACGTTGGGATGTTGAAATTTTTGATGATGATGTTGCTGTTGTTGTGTTGGCGTCGTCTGGTGATGTTGATGTATTTCTTGGGTTGTTGTTGCTGTTGTTGTTTGGTGTGATTTTGTTGTTGTCTGCGCAAAATTAATAATTTTTGTTGAATTCTTTTTAAATTTTTCTCAGATTTTCCTGTTACGCTAACGTCATTGTACTTGACATCATCATCATTATCGCCATGTGAGCTGTAATTATAATTAACTCTGACGTCATCGTCGTCGTCACTGTTAAAAATGACATCAACTTTATAGTCTTCGTCATCCTCTCCATTGTTATTCGTGCCATTACTACCATTTATAACTCTTTTCAGTATTCTTGTAATAATATCTTGGTCGTTCTTTAGGCAAATAGGATTAACCATGGACAGATTGTTGTTGATGTTGTCGTTGTTGCTGTTGTTATTGATGTTACATAGAGTTTTGTTGTTGTTATTGATGTTGTTGTTATTAATGTTGTTGTTGCTGATGCTATTTACAGTTTTGTTGATGTCATTGACGCTGTTTTTGATGTTGTATACAGTTTTGTTGATGTTGTTTTTGACACTGTGTACATTGCTGTTGTTGTAATTTATGTTTTTGTTAATGTAGTTAATGTTATATGTAACGTTGCTGATGTTATTGATATCGTCTGTAATGTCATTTAATGTCTTTTCGTTGCTGTAAATGGTGTCGTTGTTGATGTTATGAGTAGTATTGTTGTTGTTGTTGTTGTTGTTATTGTTGTTGTTGTTGTTGTTGAGGTTGTTGTTTTCTTTGATGAAGTGAACATTGCTGTTGCTATTGTTGTAGTTGTTGTTATCGTTGTGGATGTTGAAATCAACAAATTGACTGCGACCGTAAGAAAATATTGTAAAGAGATTGTTGATGTCATTATTGCTGCTGTTGTTGTTGGTATTGTTATTGTTGTCGTTGTTGGTGTTGTTGTTGATGCTGTTGTTGTTTTCGTGTCTAGCAATTGGTTCTCCAATACTCGTAAGGGCGTTATTGTTATTAATTGCATTGTCGTTGGCGTTTATGCTAATTATTTCTTTGTTGATGTTGTGTATATTGTTGACGTTAACGTCATTATTGTTGTTGTTGCTGTTGTTGTTTTTGTTGCTGATGTTGCTGTTGTTGTTGTTAGTAACATTTATGACTGTGTTGTTGATGTTTTTACTGACAATCATAATAATATTTTTGGTTAAAATATTTCTACCAGTAGGTTTATTTCTATTTTTGTATTTCTTGAAAACACCATTGCTGTTGTTTTTATTCTTGTTACTAAGTTTGTTTCTATGAGTTTGCACGTTCTTATCATTTTTTTCAATATTCTTTGTAAAAGTAAAATTACTGAAATCAGTAAAATTACTCTTGCTAGGATTGTTAATTGGATCTAAACCGTCAAACGCCAGCGATTTATTACTAATTTTATTATTTTCAGTTGCAGTATTAGTGGTTACGGTTGCGGCGGCAATAAAAGTAGTAATTAAAGTTGAGGTAGTAGCTTCTGTGGCAACAGTAACTGGTGTCGTTATATTTATCAAAACTGTTGTAGTATTTTTGTTATTTGGTGACTTTTTGAGTGTAGTAACGGCAGTTACTACACCAGCGTTTTTATACTTAGTTTTAAACTTATCTTTATATTTATTATTACTCGTAGTTACACTGTTACTTACTCTGTTTTTAGTAATATTACTTCTCAAAGTTGGATTAGTGTTAGCAATTGAAGTAGCGTTTGAAGGTTTTATATCACTTAAATTGAAATAAACCTTCTCATTGCTGGTTATAATGGTGGTGTCGTTTTTACTGAATGAATTACGATGAACGTTCTCTGTAGTAGTGGAAGTAGCAGTAGTAGCTGTTGTGGCAGTGATAACAGCGGCAATAATATCAGTAGTTGTAGTAGCAGTAGTAGAAGTAGTAGTAGTGGTAGCATCAACATCAGTAACAGCAGCAGCAGCAGTAGCAGCAGCAGTAGCAGCAGCAGCAGTAGAGGTAGTAGTAGTAGTATTAGCAACAGTAATAACAGTAAAAGTAGCAGTAGTGGTAGCAGTAGTAGTAGCAGTAGTTGGACTAATAGTAAAAGTAGAGATGATTTTCGCAATCAGACTACGTGACTTTAAACTTATTGAACTTCTCGAGTACTCCGAACTGATGGTACGTGACGATGATGATGGCAATGTACTTGTTAATGATGACAATGACGATGATGACCCTAGTATTAAGGAATTTAAATTAAGATCGTTTGAAGATGATGTTGATGATGACGACGATGATGACGTCCAAGATAACATAGGAAGAAATGCAGGTCTAATTGAATTTTCTCTTGTTGTTGTTTTTTTATTTATACCTGTTCGGTGTGTTCTTGTTGTTTGTGTTGTTGCTGCTCTCAATGCTGTTGTTCCGGGATGGATTTTCAGTTTGGAGTTTGCTGAAGACGTTGGTAATGATGGTGATGGTGACGACGACGACGATGATGATGATGACGACGATGATGATGATGACGACGATGATGATGATGTTGATCTTAAGGATGATGACGATGATGACACTGACCTTGATGATAATGGTATTGTTGATAATGAAAATAAAATATAGGATAAACCTCCAACTGATAATGATCCAGACAAAGCTGACGAGGAAGACGACGACGACGATGAAGACGACGACAAAGACGATGTTGTTGTTATTATTGGCATCGATAATAACAATGACGACGTAAGTGACGTAGCATTAGAATTTGTGACGTCATTAAGATTCTCATTTGAAGATTCGCTTACGTCTGGCTTGCAATCAGCGGGCAAGTGTTGAAGGCTGATGACGAAGATGATGACGATGATGAGGTCGGTGGTGACGATAGTAGTAGTTCTCATTTTGATCACGTGTCACTCACAACAACTGGCGGTGAGGATAATGATGATGATGATAATGTTTCCAGCGATTTGATTGGTTATTTCACTACTTTATGATTCGTAGGTTGGCAAATTTTTTTAATTGCAACATAAATTCACATTTCAATTTCACTTCGTTTAAAATTTATAATGTGATAACATAGAAAAAAAAAGAACCAAGTGTGAATTGCTAAGTTATTAAGTTTCATTTTGTCTAGATTTGCTTATAATTGATGAATTGCTGAAACTAAATTATCGCGAAATTTTGAAAAATTTTAGAAAAAAAAAAATTGAGGACGGAAACTTTTTTTTTTAAAACGTTTGAAAAGTAGAAATGCATGCCATCCTCCTCGTCATTATGTCGTCATCGTGGTGTAATCAAACTGCCGTCGCGTCGTAATTTTTACGTAATCCTATTATCATTTTTATAGCGCTGCGCAGTTTTTTTTTTTTTATATCATAACAACATTATTTTAAATTAATCACAGGTTATGTTGTATCATATCATGGTGAAGACAAAAAGCAGAAATTTACTGAAATGATTGGATAGAGTTTCATTTATTTTCATCTATTTAACTGTTTTAATGTTTGAGATTTCAATTAAAGTAAATTCAATATTCAAACGAAAATAAAACTAATAGATGAAAAATTTTTAAACAAACCGACTTGGTATAATAAACCGAAATTCTTAATTCATTCGTAGTAGAGTGACTAGACTTCAAAAGAAGAATGCTTAAGATGCGTTTGGAAAAATGAAATTCGATATTATGGATATTGCACTGGGACGAGTAGAGAATAAAAAAAGAAGATAAATTGTTATCTCTCCTGTCTTTTTCTTTGTATCTCTATCTCTTTTTGTATTTCTTGCAATGTTTGGAATTTATAGTTTGTTAATGTTTTTTTGCGATGTTTTGTATAGTTTACCAATCTTATTTTGTTTTTTATTTGTTTTTTCGTTTAATTGTTTTCTTTTTGTTCTAGTCTCAAATGTGCAATCTGTTGGCATCCACTTACTTGATAGATGTCTATTTCGTCTTCTGTTGTTGTTTTTTTTCTGATTGTATGTTTGAAGCGTTTGTACATTTTTGTGCGTCTATTTGTTTGTATTTCAGTTATGTATATTTGTATTTATGTGTGAATGTATGTGTCTGTATGTTGATGTGTGTATGTTTGATTGTGTATGTTTGTTTATATGTAAGCGTTTGTATGTAAGTGTATCACATTTGTATCATATATGTATCATATTTGTATCAAAATTTTAAGAATGGGATGGAATTAAACTCAGTATTCACCCTATAGCACTAACCTAACCTACATTAAATTTAAAGCCAAAATACCACCATGTTTACGAGCTGCTTTCTAATATATTATTTCTGTACTTTTTTTGTACATACTCTTTGTAAATTTCACGTTTTTATACCTATTGTTCGTTGTGTCATGAACATTCTTATAGTTATAATTTTGTGGTTCATGATGTTTTTGTCATGTTCATATTATTTTTTACCCTCATGATCATTATGTTTGATGATTTTATCATTGCCACCATCGCAAATGTGAAAACAATACCTGTCCAGTTTAAAACTCAGACTGAAAATCATTTCAATTTCTTGATGTTTTAAAAAGGAAAAAAATTTGTATTTATCGTAGCTTTTTCAAGAAAACGCCATCTCGTGTAGAATGAAATTCAAAAATTAAAAAACCCCCCGCACTTAGCTCAAGATATTTACGACATCAAATTATCCTTTCTTCTTCCGACAGATAATTGTTACAATCTTTCTCTCCTCTCGCATCGAATCGTCTTTTAGCTCTCCTAACACGAAATTTCGAATCTTTGTGAGCCTCGAGCGGGAAGACGTGAAAGCACGTGATTTGATTGTCCAATCAGATGAATTCAAAGATCTTGTTTTTGAATTTATTACCAAAGAAAGCTCTTGTGTAAATTAGTTCTACGTGGGCTATTACCACCTTGTTATCTGCTTTTGTGACGTCATCGTCGTCCCATCATCATCATCAACATCATCATCCACTCCACATCATCATCATCATCATCATCATCATCATCATCATCATCATCATCATCATCATCATCGTCATCATCATCATCATGAAAGCCAACCACTGAGATACAGTGTTGATTGATGAGAGGACAAAAATTTTTTTAAACTTTTTTTGGCTGACGTCAAAAATAGCTACAAAGAATAATCAAATAAAAATATCCAACAAAGAATGATAATAGAATCAAAGCCCTATGCGCGCACACACGCATACGCACACACATTCACACACACGTAAACACACACACACACACACACACACACACATACACACACAGGCACACAAATACTTGTTTACACCGAATATTTTCCTTTCGAGATATTCAATGTACTTCAAAATATTCATACCGGCATACAAGGGCAAATAATAATGCAATCGTCATATCATCATCAAATCAATACCTTACTCCATATTTATTTAGAGAAACACACTCAGCGTCCTTACAAGTAATTTCAACGAATGCGTGTGTGTGTGTTGATATGTAAGTATATATGTATTATTATTATTATCATTATTATTATTAGTATTATTATCATTATTATTATTATTATATTAGTAGTAGTAGTATTAGTAGTAGTGGTAGTAGTAGAAGTAGTAGTAGTAGTAATAGTAATAGTAGTAGTAATAGTAATAGTAGTAGTATTAGTAGCAGTAGTAGTAATAGTAGTAGTAGTAGTAGTAGTAGTAGTAGTAGTAGTAGTAGAAGTAGTAGTAGTAGTACCCTCAATTTTTTTATCATTCGTGTTTCCAGGAGAGTTTATGAATATTGTTTTGCGTTGTTGTATAATATTTAATGAACAAAGTTTGAGGCATAAAGTTTAATGCATAAGTGTGTTTTATAGTGTTATTAGTTTGAGTTAATGAGATTTTAGATTACATGGGATGTTTAACGTATGTTTAATGTATCGTGTTTATTGTTTAACGTAATTTGTTTAGTGCGTGATGTAGTAGATGTAGGTACGCTAAATTATGTTTGCAGTTTTCTATACGTGCGTATGCTACAGCTGTGTGTGTGTGTGTGTGGGTGTGACTGTGACTATTTATGTATGTGTGCATGTGTGCGTTATTGTTATATGTGTACCATTTTGAGACAGCACATATTCGCTCTTCATGTAGATATGCAGAGAACATATTTCAGTTGATTTTTTTTTTGAGTTTGGGGCTCGTATCGGCTGGAGCTTTACGTTTATGTACTGAATGTGAGTGTTTATAATGTGTGTGTGTGTGTGTTTGTAACGGATGTGTGTGTTTATAACGGATGTGTGTGTGTTGCATATCTACGTGTGTTTTGCGGGCTTTGTGTTTAACGTATGATGATCGAACAAACAGATAAATAAATGTACGAACGATCAATTGAACGGACGAATAATCAATTGATTAAACGAATAAATGAAAGATCAAATGAAGAAATGAATGAATGAATGAATGAATGAATGAATGAATGAATGAATGAATGAAAAATAATAAAGTATAGTTTCCAAGAAATGGCCATTGAGCGAGGAGTCAGATATGTTTAAACCCGTTTGAAAATTAAAACTCATAAATCAACGCCATATTGGCCGCTTCGCTGAGTTTTTTTTTCAAAATTGTACGTGCATGTGTGTATGTGTATGTAACTATGTATGTATGTATGTATGTATGTGTGCGTGTGTTTGTCTGTGTGTGTTTGTGTGTGTGTGTGTGAGTGTATGTGTGGATGTATATACACGCAGTAGACCAACATGATGGTTTTTTTTCAAGTAAATTTTTTGACAGTTATTTTTTGAATGGCATCTATGTATGTTAATTTGATAGTAGCAGGGTCCTTTCATCGCCGTCATCTTTATCATCGTTATCATCATCATCATCATCATCGTTACCGTCATTTATATATTCATTCCTCCATTCATCCATCCATCCATTTCCCTGCTTAAATATTCTCCAAGATATTTTAAGGCATAGCTCACATTAATCATTTATGGATCTTTATAATGACGGACAGATGATGGTGATGATGACGACGATGATGGCTCTAATGATGATAACGGACGTTTCGAAAACAATGATGATGACGACGATGGTGATGATGACGACGATGGTGATGATGATTATGATTATGATGAAACTTCAACGATGGTAGTGATGATAATGAAAACGAAACCTTAATGATGATGATGATGATGATAATAGTATGATGATGATGACGATGATAATGATCGTGGTGATGATGATGATGATATTATTACGTCAGTATAAAATGGGTTTCATGAAAATAATAGTTTTGTCGAGATGACGACGACGAAATGAAAACATTTCTTACTCTGAGGAAAAATGATCAGAAAAAAAATTGATAAAGGCGCCTGAAATTAAAATTTTAATAACGTTGAAATGTTTGCTAAAAAAAAGTGGAAATAATATGACCATGACAATAATTTGGAATGATGACATCAACTAGAATGATGGCATCAACTAGAACGACGACAATGATTAGAATGATTAAAGTGGTGACAATAACTTAAATGAAAAAAACTATAATAGTAACCAAAATAATTATGATGATGAACTGATAATAAAAATGGCGATGATGTTTGTGACAGAGACGAGAGACAATAATGATGATTTTAACGGTGGGGACAACATGATGGGGATGACGATGATGAAGAAGATGTTGAAGAAAAAGATGATGACGATGTGATGACAAAAAAAAATTATGAAGGTGATGACGATAAAGATGATGATGACGAAATGATGATGAAGACGATAAGAAGATGATATCGGTGACGTCATGGATGTAGATGGCTACGTTTGCTTGGGAATACACATATTTGCATGCCAAAGCCTTCATGTGGCATATGCATGCATGCATGCATCCATGCTCCTCTCAACCATGCATTAATGCGCTGGAGTGAATTTTTGAATTAATGCACCTGTATTTTTAGCATTATCTG